TAGACAGGAATTTGATACGTATATTTGTTTTTTCACGTAAGAGGTCGGGTTTATAAAGATGGGTTAGCTTGTGCAAGACTTAATATATGCATAAATGCAGTTGTGATATAGCTAATATGTAATTATATGCTATCCGGTATACGAGCTTTACGAAATCTGATTGGCTGAGTTATCGGAAAAAAGGTTTGCACAATTTTTTTAATGTAAAGTTCTGTAAGAGAGAGAGAGAGAGTCATATGGCCTATATTTCTTTCTCTTATAAATATAAATATACATTTATAGTACGATTGACTATCATCTCAGCTTTGCTATCTTAGCTATCTTGCTTTCTCGGACTTGGCTATTTAGCCAATATAATTATAAATACGACTCGAGCTGAAGTTAAACTACAATTATTAATTGTTAAATGTCACATGGTTGTTAAATAAGTATTAAGTCATATAAGAATATTTGAATAAACCTGTTAGTTTTTTAACTATGAGAATCAGAACTATAGGAATTCATTCTCACTGATAGACGGTGTAAACATGCAGTTGTTCGCAAAATGACTACAATTTGTCGATCGCGTGGGATGACTCTAGAACTACTGAAGTCTGTATCATATACATTGGTGACAGTGTGACTAGTCAGTAATATCCCCCCGCAAACATGTGCTTATCTTCGTATTAACATAGTACAAGTGGCATGGTAGACGTAACATGCATGAGATAAAACAATGAAATATGGATTGCACGCATGCATTTTCGATTTTAGTATGAGTTTTATCAAGGACAATCAAGGGTCCCTTTTGTCTGACAGCGTCGCGTTTGCTGCATTTGTGCCTAAATGCATGAAAAAGTCTACTATCGATTTCAATTATAAATGTTGAACATCCAACTGATTCGAAATGAGAGGCGTAAAATCACGCAACATTATACGACACTTCAACCAAAGTTCACTCACTCAACTTTCGGCAAGCTTTATGCAACTGAGATACAATTACAAATGACCGCCATTTTTCGGAGTACTTCAGATTTCAATAACCTTTTTTTGGCCACAATATTGGTATATGAAGATGTTCTATTGACTTATCATACAGTAGCGTAGCCAGCCTGTCGATTTGTCCTGCCATGCTAATAATTTTGTGTTTACTGCATGGCTGTGAAAACAATAGATTTCTAAAGACATGAATAATTATAAGAACTCGAAATTTACATAGCGAGACAAAATCGTCAGGCTGGCTACGCCACTGCTTATCGATCGGCCGCCGGTTAAGCCTCGTACAAACAGGGAAATTTTCCTTGACAAGTTTTCTTGACTAGTTCACTTGCTCGTGCGTATGACGAACACGTTTTCATTGACAAGTTTTTCTTGCAATTAGTTTTATTGAGGAAACGCACGCGCACTATGGCGTAAAGACGCTAAAAAATAGTGCTCCGTGACATTTGAAATTTTACCACAATTACTGCTAAATTTTTAGAAACATTATTGCGTTATTACTTAAGTAAGGATATCTTTAAAACAACGTTGGTGTTATTTTTTGTTAACTTGGTGTTTTCGCGCATTTTGTGACTTTATCAAGATTTGGACATCGAACATTGGTCATTGGAGTGGTTACGCGTTCATTGCTTTTAGCGTGAATAATTTCCAGTGCTACTTCAACTGTGAATTCTGTGAGTTCGAATTGGTTATATTATATATATTTTTGGAACTTTTACGCAAATATTTTGCTATTTCTCGAGTTTGGACCGTTAAATTATATTTGCGAACGTTATTCCGTTAACCGCGTGCTACGTGATTTGGTAAATTGGTTGGTGACGAAGCACGCTAATTAGAAACTATGCCTCAAGAAAGCAAAGGCGGAGAGCGCGCATTTCAATGTAATTTGTGCCCGAGACAATTTGGTTCGGAACGAGGACGGTCGCTACATTTAAATTCATGCAGGAAAAAACACGCAACTGGTGGAGCGAGTCAAAAAAAAAGGACAAACATCAAGTATGCCTGGTTCTATTGTTGTCGATCCGGTTACTCCCTCAAGTTCTCAAAATAGCGGATCACCATGTGTTTGGGGCAGCCTCACTAAAGACGATCTAAAGCAAGTTGTTAACGCAGCCTATGAAGAGGTGGTTTTTTGGCGCAAAAATCTGTTTATGTTGCCGAGTGGAGCTGCTGGAAAGTCATACGTCAGGGAACTGGAGAGACTTGTTAACGCTTGGAACAGTAACTCGGAGATCTTGCATGATATTTCTTTAAAACTTACTATGATCATGCCTGCTCTTCTCTTACAAAAACCGAGTTTCAAATCGAGATCGAAAGACCATGTGACTTGTCTGTCTCGGCGCATGGCTTTGTGGCAACAAGGTAACTTTGATGGGTTACTTCGGGAATGCAGAACCATCCAGTCGACACTACTGGCTACTAGAAAGGTTTCGAATGAACAGCTTTCCAAGACCTTCGCTAGTCTCATGTTTCGTGGCAAAGTGAACGCAGCTCTACGTTTGTTGGATGAACAATCATGTGGTGGAGTTCTTCCTCTTAATGACGCTGTGTACAAGGACCTCTTGCAGAAACATCCACCTGCACAACCTGAGGATCATTCCGTCATGATTGATGGTGAAATTCCATATGTCGATCCATCGTTATTCGCCAACATCGACGAGGCAGCCATAGCAAAAGCAGCATTGAGGACTCAAGGTGCTGCTGGTCCTTCAGGTCTTGACGCACTTGGATGGCGGCATATTTTGGTGTCTCGCAACTATGGAGATGCTGGCAAAGATCTACGATCCGCAATAGCGTTAATGGCGAGAACACTTGCAACCCAGAAGGTCGTTATTGGAGCAGATCAGACCACCAGCTTAGAGACCTTCTTAGCGTGTCGCTTAATACCTCTGGACAAGAACCCTGGTGTCAGACCGATTGGGATTGGAGAGGTTCTACGACGGATAATTGGAAAATCAATTGTCTTTGCCATTAAACCACAAATCATGGATAGCGCAGGAGACTTGCAGCTATGTGCAGGACAACAATCAGGCTGCGAGGCTGCTGTTCACGCCATGTCGAAGATTTTTGAAGAAGAAGAAACAGACGCTGTCTTACTGGTAGACGCCACCAATGCGTTCAATTCCATCAACCGCAAGATCATGTTACATAACATTCAGTACATTTGTCCTGCAATGGCTGTTTATACGTTCAATTGTTATGTAACAGCTTCAAGATTGTTCGTGCAAGGTGGTAAAGAAATTGCATCAGCTGAAGGTACCACGCAAGGTGATCCGTTAGCCATGCCGTTATACGCCGTCGCCATTACTCCACTCCTGCTCATGATTAAATCTGGTGAAGCTAGTGATGTAAGGCATGTTGCGTACGCGGATGACCTTAGTGGGGCAGGTAAGCTAATGCAACTGCGTGCCTGGTGGGAGAAGATTGCCGTGCATGGTCCCGAAGTCTTGGTTACTACCCGCGAGCTGATAAATCCTGGTTGATTGTGAAGCCACACCTGGAGCAGACTGCCATTGAGATCTTCGCTGGAACTAATGTACGAATTTCAAGTGAAGGGCATAAGTACCTTGGAGGATATCTTGGATCGGATGACGGAAAAGATAAGTATATTAGTTCTTTAGTTAGTAAATGGTGCCAGCAACTTCACGTTTTGAGTGAAATTGCCAAATTCCAACCCCAAGCAGCATACACGGCGTTTGTCTCGGGTTTTCGGCACAGATTTACTTACCACATTCGTGCCGTTCCAGGTATCAAGACCGCGATGCAGCTTGTTGACGACACCATCAACCTGAAGCTCCTTCCTGCACTCCTCGATAACCGTAGCTTGTCCATCCATGAGCGACAATTGGTTTCGCTTCCAGCTCGTATGGGAGGTCTTGGTATTCCGATCTTTAACGACATCTGTGATGAAGAACATTTGAACTCCACAACCATCTGTCATCTTCTCTCAAGTAGAATCATCCACCAGAATGGTACACCATCAGCAGAACATGGAGATTCCATCCACGATCTTCGCCGTGAGATTGCAAAACAACGTCAAGCTAGGAACTCGTTGCTGCTACAGAACTTGAGATCGAGCATGAGTGAAGAGCAGATTCGAGCAAATGACCTCGCCCAGTTGAAAGGATCCTCAGCTTGGCTAACTGCTCTGCCACTTGCTGAAGAGGGCTACATCTTGACCAAGCGTGAGTTCTTTGATGCAATCTACATGCGTTATCGATGGCCTTTGAAACGCCTTCCATCTTTCTGCGCTTGTGGAAAATCGTTCACGGTAGATCATGCCCTGTCGTGCCTGAAAGGAGGTTTTATCCATCGAAGACATAATGAGATCCGTGATCTACTTGCTGCTGCTATCGATGACGTTGCTTACGATGTTTCAATTGAACCTGCTCTTGCTCCTTTGACTGGCGAGGTTCTTCCATCCAGTGCTAACTCAGCCGATGACGCCAGAGTGGACATTGCTGCGAGAGGTTTCTGGCAGAGATGTGAAAAGGCATTTTTTGATGTAAGGGTGTTTAACCCATACGCCTCTACACATCGACGCCAGACGTTGAGCAGCTCGTTTAAAGCCAACGAACGGGAAAAGAAGCGACATTACAACCAACGGATTGTTGAGGTCGAGCATGGCTCCTTCACACCGGTCGTCTTCAGCGCCTTTGGCGGATGCGGAAGAGAGACCCAACATTTTCTTTCCTTCCTGGGTGCGAAGCTGGCTGACAAGAAGAATCATTCTACATCTATGGTGGTTAGCTGGTTACGACGAAAGATCGCCTTTGCTTTGCTTAGAGCTCGCGTGGTGTGTGTTCGTGGCAGTCGAAGTTGGAGGACTGCGTCCATCACATCAACTAACGACATTACGTTGTCGGAATGGAACTCCAACATTAGCGAGTAGTCTAGTTAAGTTGTTTTTGTAAATAGTCTGTAGAACTATTATACTTAATTTTAATGCATGATTGATTATTGTAAATTTCCCTAGTACTAATAATGTGAATAAATTATTATATATCTTAAAAATTAGTTTTATTTGCTCGTGCATGCATGTGCGCGAAAAATTTGACAAATTTTTCTTGACAAATGACAAGTACGATAATATGAGTATATTTTACGATAATATGAGTATATTTTACGATAATATGAGTATATTTTACGATAATATGAGCCATAATAATATGAGTATACGACCGAGTCTCAGTCGAAACAAACAGAAATGATAAAACTCGTTTGATTGACTCGAAGTCGTAGATTGTTGCTGCTTGCGCAATTCCTTGTCAAGTTTTTCTTTGACGGCCATTTTTCCTTGTTGAAAAGCTGGCATGACTAGCTTTTGAACAAGGCTCCTTGTCAAGGAAAACTTGTCAATTTTTTCGCGTATACACACGAGCAAATAAAACTTGGCAAGGAAAACTTGTCAAAGGAAACTTGCCCGTCTCTACGGGGCATAATTTTGCAAAGTACCATGCAGGGGCCGGTTGTATCAGAGTCATATGTTTCTGACTTAACTACGATTTAACTACGCAAAATGTAGTTATAAGAGGTTTAAGAAACATCAGCAGAGAGTAACGAAGGCCCGTGTTTGCCAATTCTTGCCGTGTTTGTCAACGAAAACTTGTTCGTGTCAAGAAGACTTGTCAATGAAAACTTAACCGTCTGCATGGGGCTTAAAAAATAGCTAAATGCACATTCATTTCCGGACGTATTTGTTATCCAGGCCCCGTATACATCGCACCGGACGAATTTGGAACCGGTTCGTCCTTTTCGTCTTTTCGTTCGGACACGAGAAACACGGAACAGAACAAATTTGAAATCCCCAAACAGGACGGTGCTCATATTGTATTTTTACATGAAGTATAGCCTATAACCAATAGCAAAATTCGTTCCTGTACTGTGTAAACACTCGACAAAAAAGGGCCAGAATTTGCATGGTTCCGTGTAAACAGGCCAAAAAGGACGAATTTCGGACCGTTCGTCAGACACCGTGTAAACGTAGCCCTAATATTTACAAGATCAGATTCATCTTGCTGAATGCTGTGTATTTTTTTATTTTGCCTTATTTTCGACAAGTAAATGTATAATAACTAACATTTGCTATGGGTTGGACTTCTCATCGTGCATCGTTCATTTTCGTGTTGACATAAACCACTGAATAGGATTTACCGCTGAGTTTGGTTGGCTGGCTGTGAGCCAATAGAAATCCTTGTTTGTTTAACCATTGTGTGATGGTAAATATCTCTCTGTTTTGTGTGACATTCTTCTTATTCAAGTCGTATTCAAAGCTGAGCTGTTTGGCGTAGGTTAACAGGCTGCCATCCTTAAGCATCGTTGATATCCCTTGCCACAGGTCTGCTGTTATATCAAGACGAACGTGATCGATTGGTTCCTAAAGAAATGGACTCTTTCTGATTTTCCTTCCTCAGGCTATATGTGTACACGAGAGTCGTTTTTGAGCGTTTTGAAATCGTGTTTGTCTATTTTATGGCTTTGACGCGCCCTGTCCACACGATGCAAGAAAAAATATGCTTAATATGGAAAAATTAACGATTAAAGAAAACGTTATTGTGCGCACATATAGCCTGAAAGTGGTGCATTTCAATATATATGTAATTGCATGTGCTATATATATGTCATCGCAAAAAGGTGACGTCACCGGTCAGTAAAATACGTCAAAGCCAAATGTAATCTTTGTGTTGTGATTGCTTTTAAAGTTAAACTGATTTAAATCGTAGCGAGTAGGCATCTAAATTTAATGAGTAAATGGGATTATCGAGTAATCAGTCGAGTATTTTAGAAATATTAAGTGCAAACAACTGAGGAATTCTTTCTCAGATTACTTCCCATTGTTTTATTCCGTATCATCTGTCACTGCATGCCTGTGGTTTTGCATGCATGATTTTGCCCGAAAGTTAGGGTGCCATTTATTCAGAATTTATGGCATTGAAAAATTCGCAGATAAGTGCTTCTATTTCCTCATACGTAAAATCAAGGTTAGCAAACTCATACAAAAATGTGTGGAAATGGGAGAAAATCACGAGAAATAAAAACTTACGTCACTGAAATGTAGTTCTTTGATTAACGTTAAAAATGTTCGATATTTCCAACCAGGTGGACCCGATATTCGGTACTGCGCTTGTTGATCCTTGTCGTACAATCTCGCGTTAAAAAACCGCACTTTCGCCGTGCGGTAATGGTCAATATAGTCGAGACCTGGATCAAATCCGAATACTTGACAGCCGAGGTCCATTTCCACTTTGCTTGGAAACTTCTCCCACAAGTGTTTGATGCTGGAAAAAGAAGTATTTTTAAAATGGACGAACACTGAAAATTGATCATGCATCTGCTAAGAATATTTCTGAATGTGCTGGTAGTGTGCACAAAAAATCTGGCAGCATGCACAAAAAAAACGGAAGGTGAGCTTCCGTCTTAATTTGAAAAATCTTGCTCGTCCAATCAGTGCTTAACGTCTTCGCTTATAATTATAGGCACGTTCCCCTATGACTGGAACCTAGTCTCCTTATGATAACAGTCAAACTTAACAGTGACTTAATAGTCGCAATATTGCGTTCTTCACTTTCTCTTCTATGTCACAAAATTATCTACTGGAAAAGTTTCCGGTTTCAAATCCTTACCCAAAAGAATAGATCAAACAATTATTCTTTGTCAGGCCTGTTTTTCCTCCGATACAAACGTACGAATTCCATCGCAGATCTTCATGATCCGTTGACAGTGCGTGATTAGGTGTTCCAGGCAATACAAGATGATCACACTTCGTCTGCAGGTTTGTCAAAGCAGCTATTAATCTTTGTTCTTCCTCCTGGTTGTTTGGTCTGTCATTAGTCGGCGAAACGTAAGGTGGGTCAAGACAGGTATGAGTTTCTTCTGGAGTCAACACTATTGTTTCTGGTGAGAAGTCTTCGTCTAGATAGTAATTACCCTGTCTTAGTATCGATTATAAAAGTGGTTGTACCGAAAATTTCAGCGTTTTTAAAATGGCGGCGAGTTGTTTCAGTCAAAGTGAAAAATGAAGAAGTAAATATAGAGAAGACTTAGTTGGAGGATTCTGTTTAACATTATTTTCTAAACAGCATTAAAATCTATCTAAATTTCCGTGTTTTTATATGTTGGTCGAGATCAGTGAAAGTTATCCGCGTTAACGTTGTTTAAAAAGTATTTTCTACACCAGACTGGTTTTCTGATAGGTAGTCATGCGATGGCGGTAAAAATAACGGTATACGAATGATGTTTGAAAATTTTGCCAAAATAATTGGACGGGCTGCGGCGGGCCATCACGAGTTTTATTGCAAAAACAAACAAACAAAATCCGGTCTGATTTTATTAGTATTAGAAATACATTTATATAATTTTAAGCTTTCACATGAGAAACAAATAGAAATTAAGCAGCCCTTACAAGAAAGTACTTGAGCGGTATTTCAGCACCACAGAGTAGTTTGGTTTTATTTTAGTCCATTATTCATTAAACGTCGCGAAGCTCTTTCGTCGGTACGCAACAACAACAAAAACAAAAGCAAACACAACAACGAAGGCTACAATTTAAACAACAACAACAAACTACGGTAATAGAAAAAAACAACAAAAGACGGCAACAAACAACGACTCAACGATCACGGACAACAGCATTTAGCTGTGATCAAATTATAGCTTCATAGGCTATTTATTTTGGCCAGTTTAGTACGTACCTGCGCTCTCGTGTAACCCAGAAAACTATATATAATAATATAAAAGAATCGATTAATAAGGGTGGCCACATGATCAGTTAATTTAGTCTACTGAGATGCCCACCCACGTAGAGATCATGAGCAACATGCACCACTCCGGTAGGAAAATCTTGCCTGATTATTCTCTTTGCCCGGAAATTTTAGGGAGGCCGGGAAAATCTAAGATTTCAGTCATCCTTAAAAGCAAAGCCAGTATTTGAAAATGTAAGAAACGTAGGCGCAAATTAATTGAAACGGTTTGGATAGAAAAGCCTAGCGTTACAGGGTCTTTTTTAACTATATAACTGGGGCTTTCGCCCCCCAGCCGTTCATTTCCCCCCCTCACAATGATGGATCTTCGCTCCCCCCTAGTTAATGAGATACTTTCACTTTAAAGCGATAAACAGTTATGGAAAGGGTGTCAATTAAATTTTTTGATTACATTTGTTTAATATAATATAAAGGGAGTAAAGATGACGGCTAAATCGATCCGTTACCGCTTTCTTTAGTGCCCGTTAGGGAAAATTGACCAAATGCGCATGCTCGGCAAGTGCATGAAATGTTCAAAATGGCTAAAAAGATAAATTACAGAGTTGTTTTTACTTTCAATCTCAGGCACATGTGGAGCATGCGCACTAAAAACGTGGGTACACTAGCTCCAGTTCTGTATCAATTATTTACTCTATGACCAAGGTAATTATTCATTAGTTCTTATGTCGCTATTTCAAAGTATAGGCGTGGGAAACGAGGGAAACCATGGCACCGCGACGGTCTCCCCCCTGGTTTTCACTTCTGAAAGCACCAAGATTCATTCACAGCCATTCCCAAGCAAATGCTTCTTTCTAAGAGTTTATGAGCCCTTCTTCATGTTGTCAATCAACACTTATTTACCGTGATCGAAGGAAACATTATGTTTTTTTGAGCCGAGACCGGTGGATATTTCACGAGGCGAAAGCTGAGGTCTCGGTAAAATAGGTTTTTTTATTAAATACCACTTGTCAAAAACAAAACAACAACGTAAACAGCTAAATATGCGCCCCACGTGATCAAAATTTCGTCACTCTGCGTGATTCGCTTTCGACCAATGGAAACGCTAAGAACACAAAACTTTGACAAGTGGTATATATTAATAATATCCGTTATTGTTGACCAAAATACGAACTAGCAAAAATTATTCTTTGCATACTTACGGCAATGTAAACAGGTATAAAAAACATCACAGCTACGAAGACTGCAAGAGCAGCATTGAGCAGTGTAACCAATGAGTTTGAGGAAGGCATGGCGTGCCCTGTCTTTGTCTATTAAGAGACAGAAATTTCTACTATCACACTGAATATATTGTACATGGCCATACCGATATACATTACGCTTATCTACACTACACTGACTTATTAGCACGGCACGACTAAAAATGGGTCCGGCCCCGGTACGCAAACGCCTAGTGCTAATGAGACTGGCACGGTATCCATTGCGCCAATGATTTGAGTATAATGTAAACGTCATAATTATGTAATGTCAAGTTAATATGGCACTAGTCTAGTTGAATTGCTACAGAACTTTTTATCGAGAAACTTTATTGGTCGACTTTAAAGGCAGGCTCTCGGAGCGTATCAGAGAGTGGATTGGGGGGGGGGAGCTAAGTCCTTAATGTTAGCAAGTTCCTGTCTGACTTTTATTTTAATAATTTTGGCCGATAAAAAATGTGGTGGTAGCGGCTCCACGGTCCATAAGAAGTAGGTTAATAGAATATTTTATGCACTCTTCAAAAGTTCTTTGTTTCTCTCTTTTGTCATTGCTATCCCCCTATGAGGACATTTATGTGCACCCTGCTTCCACTTTAAACATTTTAAAGGAGCGACCAGGATTAAAAATTAAAACTATTGATTCTTGAGACGTTCTCTGGTTGCAAATACCATATACGCAGTCTGTATTACCGAGTTCAGCGACGTTTACCACAAAAATGGCACATTTGTATCAAGATAGTATTTATACAAATTAAGAAATAATTGGCTAAAGTTGTAAAATGAATACAACATACTTTGTGTGGAAGCACAATATGGCGGAAAGAGGTAGAGAGAAATACTGAAATAGCACTGTAAACAAGTATAAACAAATAATAAGAATTGGAATTACAGCGAAATTCAGTTAAATTCCGAGCTAAATGAATGCCTCCACAATCTCGTACAGTCTACAATGAAGTGGCGATGATGTCACGTATATAAATATTGAGCACAACGTAAATACTAAGGGACGTACTAACAGACTGAAACAATATAAGCCATATTCAATGCCATAATTATTGCATAAATATTTACAAGTGAACAGTTTATATTTAACGTAGCCAGGCTAAGCCAGCTAGTCAAACCGTTAACTCGAAGGTGGACAAGTAGCGGCAAATTGATATTGGCATTATTTTAAAACGAATTAAATGAAGGCTTGTATAAATGTGAAATTAAACGTAAACATATAGCTATAATTACAGAAGTAAATATATACCAAAGTATATACGTTCCAGTATAACCCGGGAGCAGCGTGGCAGCGTCTTCGAGATAACTTAGCATGAAATATGCTATAGCAACTGCCTAAAGTAGACAAAGTAGACCAAATAGGCGTCTATTTTAGGCAGTTGTTATACCACATTTGATGCTAAAATATATATATAGTTTCAGATTTTTATTTCCCTCTTGGAAACCACTCGAATATGTAAACACTACAGCGTGGTAATTCCCTACCTGATTTCAACTCTTCTTTTTAAAGCATCGGTGTTTACAAATACATCGACAAATCAGTTAAAAGTAAAATTTTGAACGACTGCAGGACACAACTGAATACGACCATTTCTTGTCAAATAATTATGCTAGTGCGTGGGCTGTATTGCATTCCCTGTAGTGAAATTCAATGGTTATTATGATTTTTATCATTGACTTTGACACGTATAAAGGACTTTAAAAATAACAACGAAACCTTGCAACTTCGAAAGAAACGTGTCGAAGCTTTCCGAAATAAAATAAACTCTTAATTTTCTAAAACTTTATTCACACGAGTGAAATAGGCAAATTAGACTTGCTCAAGTCTTCTCACTTAATAATTTTAAGCGTCAAAGGCTACGAGGATTTATTTATTTCGCGAGATAAAACACAACTTGCTATTCATCGCGCTCTTCTAATCATCACCTATTATGTCCCTAGACCTCGCATCCACTCATACTGTGTATGTCAGAAGTGATTGGTTTACAAGTTCCATTTTTACTCCACTCAAATTATCGGCACGACACGGCTAAAATGGGTACCCGTACCAATTTCATTCGCGCTTGGATATTTTATTGAACCTTGAACTGGCCACTGATGCCCATTTCATGCCGAAAAATAATTATATACAGTCGTGACAATGATCGAAGAGCTTCACAAATAATTAGCAACTCATATTCAAGGAGAACTGTTATTGTACGAGAGGATCGTGCAGAGTACACAGACAAAAAATGGCGAGTCAGGAATGACAGATATTGAAATTCTATTTCCCCAAATCACGAAAATCAAATATAAAAGCTTCCTTCCTTCCACCGCAAACAAAGTTTTGAAAGTTGTTTGAAGATCACGAAGAATGAAGTTACAAAGGAGTCTATAGTTGCCATTAGTCATTGTTGACTGAACACACATAGAAACATTTTATCCCAGCAATTATTTAAGAGATGTTCACGACACTCCTAACTAAGGCCTTGTTTACATGCATGGAGCCAGTTATCCCGGCCAGGCGAGGTGATAAATGCATATAATAAAAGACTAATATGTGATGCGCTTTTTACCTCGCGTAACCGGGATAACTCGCTCCATGTAAACAGGTCCTAAATGAAAACCAGGCATGTACCAGACTACAACAACTCTCGAGTCAAAATTTACAAGAAGCGGCGAAATCACCGCGAGTTTTAAGACAGTAACTTTGCTTATTACGAAGTAAACCATGGTAATATTAAGAATATAATGTTTTCAATACAATAGACAATTATGATTTATAGATAAAATACAACTATAAAAAATTTTATTCAAGGTTAAGAATATGAAAAATATTTGTTTGTTTTTTTTAACATTAAAATCCAGGCTAGGGCTTCACATTAAAAATATTAAAATAGTTCTAAATGTTTAAAAAGTGGGATCGATCACGGGTTTTACTTGGAATTATTAACAGAATCCTAAATTTGTCTTTATTCTAAATTGCCTTATCTTCGTCACTCGCAATTCGAATCTTTTCGCCTAGCGACATGAAATAAAATAATTGTGCTTCCGAATTGTCCATTTGTAATAGTACAACGAGCTGATATCGCATATCATTAACATTCTAAAAGTTGCTCTCCCACTAACCGAATGTGCTGCTTGCGCAGAATATATGCGCAGAACGGATTTTACATCATCTTTAATTCGCCTGAAGAAAATATAAAACTGTTAACTTCGCGCATTCTCTAAATCTTAAGCCCTAATTCCACCCGCTTAATTTTTCAAGCGAGATACGAAATATTTCGCCTACTTCTTTTGAATTGTGAGCAATGAAGCTGAAATAATTATTCAAGTGGTTGAAATTCAAAAGAAACAGGCGAAATATTTCGCATTTCGCTGTGAAATTGTCGATAACTTATATAAAACATATTCCATATTTAAGGTCTGCAAAGTCAAAATGCACGTATTTCCTTTGCATGGTCAATTTTTATAATAAATAAGATAAAGATTTCGTGGTCTCGGCTAAGCACTTGCAGGCTATTCTACCTCATCACCCGCTGTGCTTAGTGATGACATTAAAACTTCGACTTACAGGTAAGTTTCGTCTAAGTTTCATATTATTATTGATATATACCTAACTGACAAAACACGTCTGAAGAAACTGATTTTAAAGCACGTCGAATCCAATAAATTCTAGAATGTCTTTATTCAGAAGACTGGGTTGGCTTTCTGTCAACAGGTACAAAATCGTAAAAATATGGAAAGAGCTGTCATTGTTTTGGTTAGTGCTGGTCGCTTGCTCGGTATATTTGAATGGCCACAAGCGAACTCTCAGTGCGAAGTATAACAGAAAATCAGGAAAGTACAAGTACACAATTAAGAAAGCGTGTTTCGATGCAAAGAAACTCCAGTGGGAAGTGATGGAACATCAACGTAAGCATCGTATTTTGGTGAATACGACTTACTCTAAAAGAGCGAAGGGCTTTCAAGGGCCAGTCTACGTCAACACGACGAATGATGAAAAGGAATGCCCGAAATTGTATGAAATAGCCAAAGAAATGTTAAACGGTTTAAAAGTGCGACTGCCTTTCGAAACGAATAATACACTTTGGAAATTTCGCGAACGAATCGATCTAAACAAATTACGAGAGACGAAGCTTCGTTGGAATCACCCATGGGAGCAAGGGAATTCGAAACAAACGATGGAACTCCTTCGCCGTTATGACGTTTCTGCGAGAACCATCAAGGGGAGAAAAATTCTCATATCTTACGGCCATAATTGCTGCAATGGCTCAAAATCTAGAGCTGTTGAGACCGCTATAAACTATGGGAAAATGGACTATGCCGAGGCATTAGATCTTACCGCTGTCTCAAAGGGTTTCCAATTGTCGCACCAAAACATATTACGTATGCGCAGAGGCGCCGGTTACTGGCTGTGGAAACCATATATCATATTACAAGCTTTGATATACAAGCTAAACGATGGAGATTCTTTAGTATATCATGATTCTGGTGCGTATTTTAACAAGGACATTGGGCCGTTATTGAAACTTTGCCAGGATCGACGACCAAATATTTTGGCTTTTGCAATGAACCGCTTCAAAGAACGAACTTATTCTAAAAGGGATGCTTTTATTACAATGGGAATGGATGATCCTATAGTAAATGCCAAAGACGAAGAACAACGAATGGCCGTTGTAATCGTCACAAGCAAAAACTGTGAAAGTATTCAATATTTTATGGAGTTTCTTGCATACGCGTCAGACTCTCGTATAAATACTGACAGGAAAAACGTGCTAGGCAAACCAAACTATAAACCTTTTGTGGAAAACAGGCATGATCAAACAACACATTCGTTACTTTCAAAGAAGTGGGGCATTTTGGCTCTCAGAGACCCCTGTGAATGTCCCAGAAATCAATTCCAACGTCGAGGTAGTTATGCTTCAGGACCGTACAAATCTTTGTACGTTCACGATCGTAATCGAAACTAGGTCTAACATATTTTCTATATTTGTGAGTCCTAAATGTATATGTGATGTTGCTACTCTGAGTCACCAACCGGGCAAGCTGAAAAATTAGCTTGACCACGGTGGGAATCGAACCCGCGACCTTTGGTTTGATAGTCCAATGCTCTTCCACACAGATATGGAAGGGACTAGACTCAGTTCAGTCAGAGTAGCAACATCACATATACATTTAATATACACACCTAAGTCTTTGCATTATCACTATCTGTGTGTCTATTTCTATATATCTGTGAGTATACGTTTCAAAGTGTTCCTGCATGGCTTGGGATGATAGGATCTGTAGCTTTGACATGCTTGATCTCTGAATATAGAACGTGAGTGTACGAAGATAGTCAAGCTATGTAATATCTATTCCGTGGACAATCTAGGAATCTCTAAAATCCTTTCCGGTTAATGATAATTTTTGCGGTTGATGATAATAAGAATTTTAAACGTGTAGATATTCATCTGCCACAATAATATAATTGGCGTGATAAAATAATTATAGTCGGCGTCTGGCTGTTGGTTTTAAGGCAGTCAATCTTGATGGAAACCTTCTCATATTTTTAAAAATAGATTTAAGATTATTATTCTAACGATATTGGGTCAAACTGAGAATGGCAATATAATATTTGAAAATTCTAAATGACCGAACCCCAAACTGCAAAAACCCCCAACTGAGCCCAGAAAGAATTCGATAAAATAATCATTATTTTCTGATTATTGTATGTTTGGTCGAGCTGGGGTGCACGCAGGAGCACTCCCCCCTTACAATATTAAAATATCGCCCTGTTTCAGGGGGGAGCTTCTACTTCTGTCTACAATACTTGCTAAGTGAAGTGATTTATGACAGATACGCACGAAACAATGGAGTCTGTATTGTATGGTACTCTGTGACGGTACTGTTAAACAATCTAAATAAGTGATTGTGTGTATGACTGGGGGGAATAAAGATCGTGTCACTTTGAGTTACAAACCAGCAAGCTGGAAAATTAGCCTGACCGCGGTAGGTATCGAATGCGCTACATTTGGCTTGTTAGTCCAATGCTCTTCTAACGTCGTAACTAAGTCAAGACTGGTTAAATATGCGATATTTCGCAACATAATCCAGTCCCTTTCATATTTTTGCTGTGTCTTATTATAGTGAATTGTACTGCAAAATCAAGGGCGGGGGTGTTATTGTGATTGCCTGTCTTAATCATTTTGTATTCTCAGTGACAGAGTGCAGTTAAATTTATAATCAGACAGTGTATGTTATTGAAGTTCGGGAAGCAAGTCATTCGACGAACGTGAGTATCGGATAAAATAGTCTGCAAATTTCTGATTGGCTGTCGAAAGATACGAAGGGAATCAATTTGGGAAAAGTCCTTTGTCATTTTTTGAGGAAAATTCGAACATCAGGTGGCTGGTTATAATCGACATAATGACGATATTAATAATCTCGGAATCCGGATCGCTGATTCTATGAATCGTAAATCGATGACACATTCAGCTTAATAAAACTGAATCTGGAAAGATGGGGAAAAGGAGCTTTATCAAAATCCAGCTTTTGATTAAATCACGGAATGCAAATGGCGTAACGCGTAACGCTGTAACCCTTTTAATTTAAAAACCCACTAACTACATTTATTTTTAGCCTAAAAAGACCTGAGTGTCGACTACACTGATATTTTTGTCAACAGGACAGATTGATTGCGTGAATGTGTGTGTGCTAATAAATAATTAATCTCGATTGTGATAATGAGCATGCAGAGATTGGTACGGGGCGAAAAAGGAATCGAAGACAAAGTGATTCATGCGACTGGCTGAGAGTCTTTACGGGTCATTGTGTCCGTTCTCTGTGAACGATTGAAGTTTAGCTTGGCTGAGGTACAAAAATCTTTGACGTTGCCAACCCACTCCATGAGACAGTGGGTCACAATTTTTCATGGAAAAAATCAATCATTGGCTGGCCACGTTTCTCTCTTCAGCGTGGAATACAAAGCCTTTTTACTTTTTTCACTTAGACATATCTTTTATCTTTACCCTACCCCTCTGCCGAATGAGTTTGACCCTTCCCACGATCTCCCTCACCTCTGCGGAATCTGATAGGTGCACGGGCATATATTCTTGTCAAATTGCATGTTGCCATCAATAGAATACTGACTAAGGCATCCGGAGTGCTGTTGGTTTGGACAACCTTCAAACTTCCCCGGATCGTAGAAATGCCACCCTGACTGTTTGCCCCGATCCAGCCAATGCTCTTGGTGCCGATAAAGATTTGAACCGTAGCGGTTTCGGGCAAATAGACCGGGGTTACGGACCACCGTGACCATTTGACCGGCAAAGTCGATTTTCGTTGGCGCTTCTCCGCGAGCAACGAGCATCTCGGACTCCATTAAATGTTGTCCATACAAATCAACATTCCATCCGTCAGCCGTCATGGAGATCTCTCCCCCAGCCTGCCGACCGTCGACACAACACCACAGGGAATCCTTGTGGGGAGTGAAACTATATCCGGCCGCTTGAAATTTTTCTCCGAGTTTTATAATGGCCGAGTAGTTGGCTGTAAGGAATGTAAGATCAGCGTCTCGCTCCCACGGCAAGACTTTGTTGAACTTGACTGCTCCTAAAGTATAAAAAGGTGAATTGAAAGATTATTTCACTATAGTTACCACTGATCTGATAGTACACTGGATAAAAAAGTATACCTATCGTAGACAAAGTAAGACGTAAGGCCACCACGTTGTGCAAATTTTCTTGTAACTTGCAATGCAATTCGAATTCTACTCCTAAGGAATCTAAAGTTGTCAAATATGAATATTTCTTGGGATCTGCTAACTTTGCTTAGCATTTCGAACACTCTTCAAAAAATTAACATCCCTCAAAATTATAATTGCATTGCAAGTTGCAAGGAAGATTGCATAGTGTAACAGCGCTTTTATTAAAAAAAAAACACACATTGTCCCCAAGAATCCCATCTCAATATCACGTGTCTCGTAATGCACCTTCGGAACAATAAACCTCTCGTTTAAAGCGCACAATGCGTGACGTAGTTAATTATTAAAGAAATTTGAGTTATTAAACTTTAAACTCTAAGCGTGGAAGTAATGAAAGTTGCCTTTAGAGCAAATAGATTTTTCCTTTATTAGTCATATCTCTCTTTCTTCCTGGGCATTTTTTTACAAAGTCAAAGTTATCGTATTGGAATTACCAACAGAACCACGCACCAACTTTGGTAGCCCCAGAGTTCTATTTTTAATTAATATTTTAGAAGACCAACGCTTGCAACGCTAGTTGAATTAGTTGTATAAACTAACTACCCTTTATTATTCGGTTGAAGCTCAACGGCAGGTTGTTCAAAAGCCGGCTAAGCCAACCCAACTTTGAACAACTGGTCCCAAGTGTACAAACGTATTAAAAGGGTTACGCACCTAACAGGGTTCCCATTTGCAACTCACAAAACAGTCCTGCATTTTCACATTCCCTCATAATAAGTTTCACAGCATCAGCAAGATTTTCAAGATCGCATGGCGGGACTCCGAGTCCTCTCTCCTTTCGACACGAACTTCCTCTGCCATGTTTGATGCCATGTCGGCAACCATACCTATACAACAAATATATCTTTAAAGGCTACCGAAGAAGTTAGCGTTAGTCTGAGCTAAAGACCGCGTATGACAGTATTACAGCTCATGTATAGAGCTCTCCTGAAGAGTTGGACACGCGTGGTCGCGAGGAAAAATTCCATCATGTTTAATCTGTCCACGCGCACACGTGTGCGAACATGTGAGCTACCATTAGTTTGTAGTTGAAGTAAACGTTTGCTAGTAAAAATATTTTTGGAGTTGAAGATGAAAGTAACTGCAGTCGCCAGTTTTGTTCAATTCAGGCAAAATCAAAGACCACCTTTATCACGTACAGAGCTTTTACCAGATTAGCTGAGGGAATGTCCCCTCATGCACAGTCTTTCAATCCAAATAAATATATATACGACCTCTTAACTTCAGCTACAATAAAGTGGGTGAACACGCTACAATAAAGTGGGTGAACGGGACACATCGCAGCTCTCGGAAGCTTTCGTCGAATTGGATAATGCTTTTCTATGCTTTCTAAAGAACGAAGCTATGCTATTGGTTGAAACATAAATATATTGCAAAATTCAGCCAATGAAAATCATTCTTGCGAGGAGCTGCGACACTACCCGTTCCAACAACGGTTGAATAAAAAGATGTTTAGCATACCATCGAACTTGATTGTTCGGTTCGACTATCTTTCGTATGTCATACTTGGATGCAAATGCTAAGAACTTCACATCTTCAACAATGCCTCTGTCGATGTTGAACATCACGTCAGGACAACTCACGGCTATCCTCTTTTTCTTCTTCATCTTCCAGAAGAGGTCGTAAAAAACACCGAAGTCTAGGCTAAACGTGAACCAAGTAAAGAGATTAACAGCATAGAACCTCCAAAACTACACACAGTTTTCTATTACATCCAGCTTTACTATAGGTTCCAATCGAATTAATAATGGTATAAAACTCTGTGATAGAATATAATTTATTTACCATGCAACCTTTTATTAAAATATTTTTCCAGAAAGGATACAGGTTTTCTCAAAGGTAGCGATCACAGCATGCTATTCGTTAACACGTTTTACAATATGGAAGCTCTATATTAGGGAGCTTTAATTAGCATTGACTACGAGTACGACTAGGAATACAAGATTCGTCATTTTCGCACCAAATTCGGTGCTTTTCCCTACGCCATCTGACGCAACTCGTAGTCGTTGGGCTTTCCAGTGCGAAGTCTACCAACAAACTCGTACTCAGAAGCTCGAAAACTACTTGTTTTGGCTGATGGCGTAAACAAACAACACGTGAGAATGACGAATCATGTTCCCTATTACTTAAATGTTCCCTATTGTCACATCACTTACTTCTGATCAAACTGCAATTCCCGCAGATCCTTCGTGCGGGCCAACCACGGTCCGGGCGTGAAATCACAGACAACACAATCCCAGAAAGACATGTAGTAGCCGCCTTGAAAGGTCAGCGTGTAATTCTGGAACATCGTCTGCAAACAACCGATATCCCAGTGTCCATTGCGTGTGCGATACGAACCCGAAGCAAAAGTGACATCGGGCTGTTCGCTCAAAATGCGCACGAGCCTCTTTAAGTTAATGTCGTCGTCAAATTCCGTCACCTGTGGAGCGACCAAAACGTACTTTGTGGTCACCTTGGAAATTGCTGTGCTCCACATTTTGCTCTGTTTTGTGCCGCTTTTGACTTCAACTATTTTAACGTTTGTTTTCATCTTCTTCACATCCCCCGGGTTATTTTCTGTGAAATAAACAACGTTCAATTCTGGATAGTATTTCTTAATACCTCCTAGAACACGCTCGTAAGCCGGGGGGGTCATTTTGCTGGTATGAACGTCGTCGAAAACGACCGTCACGATCTCGTGCAATGGCACAAAATCAGTACAGTTCAAAGTTGCGAAACCTTTTCGAAAGAATGGGTAGCCGTAAGTGAGTGTTTTTCCCAGGAATTTTTCCGGGCAAACTTCCTGATTGTCTGTACTCTTTGAATCTGATGGACTTTGGACGAATTGCTCTCTCAGCTTTCGTGTATTTGCATTGCCGTTTCTTGCCTCTTTCATATCTTTCAGGACTTCGTACAGGCGGTCAAAATTCGTCCCAAGTTCAGATTTTTCTACTTCGTTCATACTGCTGAGCAATTCCAACATGCCTTCGACGTATGACTCGAGCTTGGCTGATTTCTCGACCGGCGACGTGTTTGCACGTTCAAAATCACCGCGTTTCTCTTCCTCGTCGACTTTTCCATCGCAATCGCATAACGTTTCAGTGTTTTCGTCTATTTCAAAATGGTTCACGATTTGCAAGGCAACGATAACACAAAGAAAGAATGCCAAACACAGAAACGACGTGTTCATTCGTCGCGCCATTGTCGAAATGGACGCAAACCACGTCACAATTGCGCTCCTACAAATTGTATAACATTGTCTTCTCGGTGTTTTTTTTGTTACAAAATAGAGCGTTTCAAAGGATTTCTTTGCACAACATTAAAGTCTAAAAAAAAATATAAAATAACTAAACTTTAAGTTACATTTACTTAGCATGTCCACATGCATGTGACCATGGCTGTTTATTAAATCAATACATTGCAATCGTTGTTCAAATGCAAATTTTAAAATGCCAAGAGATAAGATAAGATGGACATACATGTGACAGTTCATTGATAAAAAATTTTATCATCTCTTTTCTTCTATACGCTTTGTTCGATGAGATTCGAATGGTCGAGGAGTGTGTGTGTGTGAATTAAGATCAAAAAGTGTGCCAAGAATCACAAAGTAGATCTTAGGGCTGAACAACTTGCTCACGAAATTACTGCAGCATGGTATGACTTAATCCAAGGTCAAACAAGCATTAGACAAGAGTTGATGGACGGACGACGAAACAGACACGGCGATTCGGGCGTAAACTGAGGCCCGGTGGTCTTTGGGGGCCAAAATATTTACTGAACCCCGGGCTCTTCACTGTTGTAAGAAACATTCAAAAACTGGTGATTGGATGCGTGTGAATTCAGAATTTATGTTATTCGAGGACGTTCATGATTGTCGTGTTAAGGCGGATTTCCACTTACAGCGAAATCATTCGCTAGCGAAATATTTGCATATTTTCTTTGGAATTGAGAACAGTCAAGTCGAACTAATCTCTTTATGCTGTTAAAATTCAAAAGAAAATATGCAAATATTTCGCTGGCGAACGATTTCACTGTAAGTGGAAATCCGCCTTTAGTGTATTATAATTGCAAATTTGAAATGCTTCTTTCATATTATGTTATTTTAACTAAGCAATAAGCAAGAAAAGTGATATTTTATAAAACAATACTTATATTTGCGCACACGAACAAAAGTATTGACGTTTAAGGCCCGGATTCTTCTTCTATATCCGAACAATTTCACGGCAATTTAATTTATTGGGCAGTTTCCAACAAAGTATGCCGTTAGCCCTTTTAACTTTCATGTGCAACTCTCGTGACCATCCAAGCGAAAACTATCGTAAACTCCCGTTGACTATCGTTTTTCTGTCAATTTTAGACGGTTTAGAGTTGGCGAGATTGGAATGCAAATGTAACGTGATTTGACACCGTCTCGTCAACTTTTACCCTCGTGTGACCAGGGTTAACCCTAATTGTGCTTGAAACATGAGTATCAATACCTTCCGTCGGTAAGCGACGAGGCCACGGGGGTCAAAAATAACAAACCTTAATAAAATATACTATAGTCTGTACAGCTGCCACGATTTAAAGTCCATTGTATCCAAAGCTATATTGAACTGGCCGAAATAAGGGCTTGCTGTTCAAGGGCGAAAACTTATATTCTGTAAGCAAAGTCAGGCCGAGCATAGGTTGCTTGGTGTCAGTTACGAAACGATTTAACGGCTAACAAGAAAATATATTTATTATGTGATCTCTTAAAGACTGTGTCTATATGCCTGAATAAATTTGAAAGTCAGCATGCTCTTGAATCCATTTTATATAAATTGAAGCCGTTTGATTGAAACAATGTGAAATTAAATGTTGACTGTGGATGAATGCAAATATCCCCCACACAGCAACCGTCTATATTGTTAGAGCTGTATCTCTGCCCACGAGGAGGCATTTAATCAGTCTTTTGTATAACAAAGATACGTCGGTTTAAACTGTTTGTAGTTTCCTGTGATATGGCTGTGTGAGATGTAAGTCATCAGAGAAACATTTTAACATTCAAACTTCGACAAATTTGAATATCGGTCAAATTGTTTGGCAAATACTCGCTTCGGTTCAAATACAGACAAGTTAAAATCATAAGTAGAGAAATTAACGCGTAAATTATCGAATTGTGGCAAGCAACTTCGCATTAAATATGGTACATCAACTTAGGCACATATGCCATAATCGTTTTGTACATAAAAACTGAGAAATAATATAGTAATAGAAATAATAGATCATGTATATTTTATATTATATTCCCCAAACTGTGCAGGATATATATTGCATAAATGACAAACCTCGTGTCCCTTTACTTTGCGGGTTGCCCCGATCCTCATTCAATGAAACATAATATGTACTTTTATAAATTACTCTCACATCATACGCTGTTATAAATTGTTATTAGCTGTTTTGTACGCTACACAACTACGTGTAAATAATATCACCGAAGCAGATGATGTCTGAGTCTAATTATTCATTGAATATTCTCAAAGTCAAATTATTCAAGCGGATGTAGGAATTGTTTGCATATATTTTCACCTAAAAAAAGCCCGCCGCACACGAGAGCTATCAGCTGAGCTAAGTCAGCTAACGACCTTGCGAGGCATTTAGCTCTGCCCGAAAACCATCCGCACACGTGAGAAACTTGCCTCTCGAGGCGAATTCCTCGCGAAAAACTATCCACACACGAGAGTAAAGTTGGATTTCCACTTGCAGAGAAATATTTGCATATTTTCTTTTCAAATGAATGGAGTCAAGTTGAACTAATTTAGCTATTCTGTCAAAATGCTACAGAAAATATGCAAATATTTCGCTAGCGAACTATTTCTCTGCAAGTGGAAATCCATCTTGAGCCAACAACCACGCGAGGTGTTTAGCTAAGCTACTAGCTCACGTGTGCGGCCGGCTGGTTTCAGTCGTTTGTTTGCGGATGAATTAAATTGGGAGACTGCAGCGTGTATCCAATTAATGCATCGAACTGTATTATTTCCTTCAAAACACTCTAGAGTCCAGGCTTTTAACATGTGTAGACGAGTTGAATGAGGGTTGGGATCATAAAAATACATCTCTCTTATGGTTTCCTGTTATAATGAATGCGTGTGTGTGACTCAGGTGCATAGATTGGGCCTAGTTTATCTGTTGTATTTTGGTCTGCAATTCAAACTATAAATGAGGCATATTATTTTATCTATTGCGGTGTTTGAATTGGCGCGGTCAAAATATGATAGATAAACTCGGCCTGAAAGGCAGGTTTTCATGTGAGAAAATTTCATCGTAATTCACATGCCTTTCTTGAAATTTGTTGTTAGGCGAAGTCTGACATATGAAAACAAAATTGTAAGAAATTAAAACAAATTACGGCATGCATATGTGAGTTACGACGATTATGTCAAATGAAAACCAGCATTAATGATATTGTGATGGTTCTTTCATGAATTATCAACCCGAATATTAGATAGCCATGGTTGAAACCAAACCATCGATCTTTGGTTTACTTTATAAGGCATTTAGGTCACGTGTTATCCTTTATTCCCATAAGTAACCTGTAATTCAAAGTATAGAGTAGCTTACATACAGGAACCATCAGAAACAATAATATGGACCTTTTTGAAAAAAAATGTTAACCTTGTTACTACCGAATGCTACTGCACTGTCAATACTTTACAACTATTCTTTTTTTAACTCCTTAGCTACATTTAACCCGACTTTCTTCCGTTTCATTTGAACAAATAATCCTAGCTATTGTGTTCATGGATTGTTCACTATTTCAAAACCGTTTCAAACATGGGATTATATTGTGAGATTAAAGAATCTCATACACGATAATATGGTTCAACTACTGCATGGTTTTTCAAAGTGAACCAACGAAGGAAAAGAGTGCTTTTAATAACACATTGCGATTTAATAAAATGACCAAAGTCTACACAGCATGAGGCTTGCTGGTGCATTCTATAAACTATTCATTCAACAATAGCACATCATGCGTGCATTGGTATTTATTGAATCAAATGCGGAACGATAATGTTCAAAGATGTAGAGCGATATATTATAAATGGGTGGCTTTGCTAAATAATAAACAATTATTGTCTATGGGCAAGACACTGAGATACAAACTGAATATGGCCCGAGTCCTTGCACGGTGAAGCTTACTGGCCTACGAGAAAGGTAGGATACTGAACGGATTTCACTACTAGTTACGTTCTTCTGAATGATATTACGTAGGTTAATATGCATGCATTTAAGCTGTTCAAATCTTTAAGCTTCTCGCCGTCAAAGAAGTGTTCAAATCTTTAAGCTTCTCGTCGTCAAACCATAATATAAATTATGTGATCGATGGAATTCCAAGCGACGTCCTGCCGCGCAGCTACAACAATTTGCATGCCTATATACTTTGATGAAAACAACTGACACTGGAAATAAATTTTTCATAGAATGTATGGACCCAAAAGCCTATTATTTACAACCATTCTTCTTCTAACTTAGCTACATTTAGGCTTTAGCCACACTTTCTTCCAATTCTTTTGAATAAATAATCCTATTGTATTCATAGAATGTTTACTATTTCAAAACCGTTTCAAACATGGGATTATATTATATTAAAGAATCTCATTCACTATAATACGGTTCCTACTGCATGGTTTTTCAAAGTGAACCAACGAAGGCAAAGGGTGCTTTTAATAACACATTGTGATTTAATAAAATAACCAAAGTTGGCAAAGCACGTGGCTTGCTGGTGCATTCTAAAGCCCCGTTTACACTACACTGAATTTATCAGCACGGCACGGCTAAAATGGGCACCCGTACCCAATTTTATTAGTGTTCAGGCTACCAAAACAAAGGCCGAGTACAGATGAAATGGGTACGGGTGCCCATTTTAGCCGTGCCGTGCCAATAAATTGAGTGTAGTGTAAACGGGGCTTAACTATTCCACAATAGCACATCATGCGTGCCATTACGGCTAAAGGCTAATTACCGGTCTCGGACGCTTTCGGATCAATATAAGCCAAAAATTTCAACAGACGGCGCACGCGCGGATTATCTTTCGTTCCGATCCGATCCGATCCGCTGCTCGTTTTCCGGAGTGGAAAATTAGCCTTTAGTATTTATTGAATCAAATGCTGAACGATAATGTTCCAAGATGTAGAGCGATAAAATATATATTATAATTGGGTCGCTTTGCTAAGGGGTAAACAATTATTCTTGTTATTGTCTATGGGCAAGACACTGAGATACAAAAAATGGCCAGAATCCCTTGCACGGTGAAACTTATTCGCCTACGAGAAAGGTAGGATACTGAACGGATTTCACTACTAGTTAGGTTCTTCTGAATTATTTTATGTAGGTTAATCTGCATTTAAGCTGTTGAAATCTTTCAGTTTCTCGCCTTCAGAGAAGTGTTTTGTAAAGTTACATTTATACTTATATATTATATACAGACCAAAAAGAAGAAACGACGATTATTATTAACCTCACTCGTGCTGCTTCGGAGGTATAGAATAGTATATTCGTTGCTACTTGTTTAGTATAAAACTAAAAAAGTCTTCCTAAGATCGCTTGCGACGTCGATATCAATTTAACCATAAAAATTTTAACCATAAAATTGTGAAGTTAAATAATTGTGTGTGCAATATAAAGGTAAATGGCGTAGGTATAATCTCAGACCCAATTAACGTGATGCGCTCTCTCGGCCAGAGCGTGTATATTTTCGCTTGGCAATTTACGCCCAAAAGAGGAAAAGTATATATATAGAATAACGAGTCAACAATTTGTACTTGGCATCTTTATTACTAATAGTTTCGTACCACTGATGTGGCACTCAATCATCCGATAAATTAGCGTACCAGTTACGTATATACAGAAGACTTTCATATTTCCAATAGTATTATCATATTTCAAATAAATCATATTTCAAATTTCATATGATCAATAAGATTTTTATAAAACTATATGTAAAAATGCCTTCTCTCTCCAGTAGGCATCAAGGAATTTGAATAATTGGTTTGGCACGTTCCAAGAAATATCATCTAAATGGCAGCAAAACCCTTTTCAAACGAAGAATTAAATTTCTTCAAATTTTCATCCATCGTTTTTGACGAGTTTCCGAACATGCTACGTGCGACATTTGTGAAACTTTGGAACACAAAGATTTCAGTTCTTGGATGTAACGAATGGGACGACACACCCGAAGTCCGCGCTCTTTTCTTGAAACACGAAGGAGGAACGACTGATGTACCAACCAACAGATCGTACCATGATTGGGATTGTACAAATCTGTTTAGAGCAACCATTTACTCGAAGACCTTCGGAATTTCCACCATGTTCAAGACTCAAACACTGAACGACCAATATATAAAAGGGAGAAAAACCAGCGAATTTCACCCCTCGCTGATCAGTCCAGGCGGAATCGAAGAAGAAACATTAACTTTAGCCATTGACCAAGTTCGACTTCTTAGAAACCATCTGTGCCACTTGTCCAAATCCAAAATGAAAAAAGCTGATTTCTTAAAGTATGTTCAACTCGCTAAAGATGCTTTTGCCGCAACTGGATACTCGACCTTTCGAGTTGATTATATTGGCAATCTTAAAGAGGATGATTTTCCAACTAATGAAGTTAATAGGTTAAGAGGAACAGTCGAGTTTATTTATGAAAGAGTAACAGAAATGATACGCACAATGATCGATAACAACGAACTCTTTCAAGTAGCGGTCAGAAGATATTCTAATAGAGCTGAAGAGAATGAAGGGGATCAATGTATTGAAACAGGTAATAGTGTCATTGATAAACAGAATTCCTAATTCTTCCCAACTATGATGAAATCTATGCAAATATATGGGACAAAAATTATGTGTGATCGAAATTTGCAGGATTTTTATGCGAAACACATTTTGACCACACTATGTGAGAATATGAACTGTGCTACACTGACAAGCTATTCAAGTTTCAAAAAATTAGGTGCAGAGGCGTTGCCCATCAGAAAATCTTTGAAATCTGGATTTTTACCGCTTCTGTAAGTCGAAAATGAATTCAAACGAATTTATGCATGGTGGAAAAAAAAATCACAATTTGATTAATTATATGATTTGATGAATTACACCGCACACTTAATATACCGGGTGTCCCAAAAAACGTACTCTGGTTTAATGAGGGAAGGTTATCTTAGATTTTGGTACATATATTACAATTACATTTTACCCCAAAAATCACTGAGATAATAGTCTATTTAAGATGTGTCTAAATCATGAAAAATCGCGGCATAACAGCAAAATAATAATGAGAGAAGAATTGCGCGCATTTAAGGAACGTTTGGACATTATCCTGACTTACACTTCAATTAATTATCGTGAGAATTTCTAGTGGGATAGCATTGTGTAATAGTTTGTCAATAAAAAAACTTTGATTTAAATGGATGGTAAAAAGTTTACGATTTTGAAGCATTTTTGGAGTGCTTTTGAACAGGTAAAATGGGTAGATTTTATGACACCCCTTTGAATTTATTCGTCAATTTCGTTAAAATCATTTTGATTGGGAAAGCATGCATTTTTAAAGGTGAATTTGTTTAAAAAGCAATTGAAATAATGTACCGGTTTTAAAAAGTTATATCCCAATGAATTTTTTATTATTTTTATAAGTTCTGGCGCTGCCCAAAGCGTCAATGCATCAATTAAATTTCCTGAAACTTCGATAAAACGTTTGTTTTATCTGCGTTACAGGTGCAATTTTTTGGCTATTTCAATTTAGTATACAACTGACACAATTCTTACAGAATTTATAAACTTACCATGTCAATTTCGCGTAATTTCCCCCTAGGCTGTTTAGCAAAGGAAGGAGTTATTCTCGTAATATTTTTCAACGGAAGAATAAAGCATGAACAAGAGCCAAGAGATTTGGACATAGAGGCTTCTATTGGCGATTTGCTTGATGCACTAAAAAAAGATCCTCGCTTAGTAGGTGTTCTCGAGAACGCAGTGAAAAGAGCTTTGGGTTCTGAGAAACATGACCAAGAAATAACAAACATCGAAAAAGGAAGTCTTCTTGTTTCATTGCACTGCTTTACAGATGAACGGTTTCTTGAGGTTTTGGATGATCTTGAATCCAAAAGGCTTCAGGAAAGTTTTCTGAAGGAACTTGCTCTGATTGGAATTGAAATGGAGGAAATAGAGATTAAGATACTAAACATGGAGGAGGTAAATAAAGAAAGGTATGTATATGAATGTGCTTTACGACCATATTTCATACTCGCCCAGAGGTTTAGTACATCCCGGAATTGTGACAGAACAATACCACTAGTTATGCGCATGCGCATCAAGTAATGATGGAATCAGCAACGTCCTGTTCGTCAAGACAGAAGTATTGTATTTCAATGAAAAGCAATGTAACTGCCATTTCGCAAAAGTTTTCGTAAAAACGTTTTATAAATGCATTATACAAAACAAAACATGGAAATTATATTAAAGTTTATTCGTCAACTGAAAAACATGAAAAGCAGGCTTAAGACCGCAACTTTAAGTTTTTATAATCATTCGCACAGTTATGAACATAGTGGATATTACGTAAGCACAACCATAGATGACGTTTTAAGGCCGACCCACATCGGACGCGTTCCGCCAACGCGACTTTTAAGAAATTTTAAGAAAGTTTTCAAAAGCTATACTAAGTTTTCCAATGCAGTGATATTCTTGGTAATTATAGAACGATAGTCATTTTGAGTCTTTGACTTGTCTGGAGCCTGTATCTCCCAAAATGTTCTGAAAATGTTCGCTTCTGAAAAAAGAAAATTCGCGTCGCGTTAGCGAATCACGTCCAGTTTGTGTGGGCCTTTAAGGCAACGTCCACACGATGCCGGAAGAATTTGAAAACGAAAGAATATTCCCACGGTTACGCGTACCGTCCACACGTATACGGCGTTTTCGCCGACTGAAGACGGAAGAATCTGAAAACGCTCTCCAGAGTGGAAGAATTTGAAAACGATTGCTGAGCGGATACGTTTGAACGCTTTGCCGGATAAATTTGAAAACGATGACGGTCACATATCAAATTGTTTCCATATTAATGAAGCATGTTTGCAAGCCTTGTGACTTATGCTCAATTTTATACTACTATATTAGCCTCATATAAGTCTTATTTAGGTTCTTTTCATAGTGAGTGAAATCTTCGCTAATCCTTTTAGCTTTTGCGGAAGTATTTTACGCGAGAAACATGTGCAAAATGTCGGAGTATGATTAGGCCTTATACACGCACGGCGTTCAATAGATACTCAGCAACAATATTTAGGAGTTCGGGCTTGTCATCTGTCCAAACAAAGTCCACATTCTTATTTTTTGCTTTGGATTTTGTAGATTTTTGTTTTGAATTTCACATCCAACCTGTGACACGCGGGTGGAAAACATGCAGGTGTGTTGCAGGATCAAATAACTTTAGCGTTTTCGGATCGTTTTTGTGTTTACGTGTAGACGCGGATAAACATTTTAACGTTGAAATATTTTCGCGTTTTCAAATTCTTCCTGCATCGTGTAGAAAGGACCTAAGCGTCACGTCGTGTTTGCTAAATTACTCTAATCGTCTCAACATGCAAGACGTGTGAATTCTGTACGAAACAGTGCATTACTATTAGATTTTTATTAGATTTAATTGGTATTAATTAGTTAATTATTGATTCATCATTTGTATATTTGTTCCTGAAAAATACCAAATGTGCGAAATCTTAAAGAATGTAGCATTGTGGAAAATTATTAGGAAATTATATGGCGTGGAATTGCAAAAACGACAGCAAAAAATTCAGCAAAATATTTATATATATTATGCATGTCTGCAGGAGAACAACGATAGCAAATACCACTCTAAAATGCTTGCCCTGAAAATCAAGATTTTTATGCAGATATAAACAGTCAGAGTTTCTACACAAAATCTAGTCTCGACTAGATTGCTATTTCATGAACACATGCACTTGGCTTTTGCGGCCATTTTTAGTATTTTTGGTATAAAAATATAGACAGCTATTTGAAGTGTTTCTAACCCGTGCAAATAGGTCTATACACTGGAAAAATAATGTTAACGAGAATTCATCATTCATGCATGGACCACTTACTAACACTTGCCATGCCGCCAAGTTTACATTAAATACGCAATAGCTATACGCAATAGCTATATGATGTTTAAAATATATGTTTGCTATTAAACTATTTGTCTACAGTAACATTTTTCTTCCAGGAATGCTGCTAAAACGAGGATCGCAGTTAAGGAAGGAAATCTTGAAGAAGTAAGACGACTTGTTGATTTGAAGTTGATATAAAATGGCAAATCGAAACATTTAAACCGTTTTGTGTTGTAGAATATTCATACTACATTGCATTGTAATACAAAATGCGTTATATTTCAGGATGAGGAAAGCGAATTAATTTAATAAAGCACAAAGAGGTACCCGCCTCGAGGAATCAACACGCGCCTATTATAAATGTTATCCCTGAGCCGGTGCCAAGCACCGGGCGAGGGTACTAATTCCGCCCGGAGATTTTAATTACGCCCGGGAATGCAAATGCGAAATGAAAGTTGTCCGTCATTATGTCATGGACGTTGGGCGTTTTTGTAAGTTATGCGCATGCGTGAGTTTAAGACGAGTTAAAACTGGTAACTAGCAAACGTTTACAAACGTGCGATTGCATGGCTAAATTAAAATTTGGGTTCACATCAGCATAACCCATATTTTGAATTATAAAACTTTTTTTAAATAACATTTTTCATTTGGATGGTCTTAAAAATATACGAAAAATTGACTCGTAAAATAATTGATTAAAATATAATGTAAAAGATGCCTTCGGATAGAAAAACTTTCATCCAAATGGATGAAAAAATCTACGATTTTGAAGCATTTTTGAAGTGTTTTTGAACAGCTAAATGGGTAGATTTTGTATTTTAAAGCATGCCAGTATTTTGTAAGTTTAATATGTGGATTTATCAACAAATGTATGACATCTCTTTGAATTTATTCGTCAATTTCGTTAAAATGATTTGATTTGGAAAGTATTTATTTTTAAAGGTGAATCTGTTTAAAAAGTAATTGAAATTTCGCTAAAAATTGTTGTATTTAAAACTATTCGTAGCACAATTATGATTATAGTTGAATTTGATAGCTCGAGAGTCGACTTTATAATTGTACCAAGATATAGGATTTTACTTTACGACTTCGATCATTCAGCAGAAACGAGTATTATAGAATTTCAATGATGGAAATATATGTTTATTGCTTCAGGCGAGGGATTTTGCATGCATGTATTTCTAGTATTATAATGATCATTTTCGTTATCAGCATTCGCTAAATTTGAACAAGTGAAAGTTAGTAATGAGAAGCCTCCTGATTGGCTAAGACAAAACTTCAATAGACGCACCGCATACAATTTACCTGCTATTTTCGCACTATTTGTAAAATCGTTTTATAAACGTTATGCGTGGAAAATAAAATGCGAAAGACGGGTTTGAAACCAAAAGATGCGTCGATAAAGTGGGAAAAAACCTTCAATAGAAAAGAAAATGTTTGACTAGTGACGCCGAGCTGACCGCATCATTGATCGTAAACTCTCTAATAACTTCGAAAGACCTTTGTGTTCAAAAGGTTCTTTTAATAATTATATACTATTGTTTAAATGCATTTTTAATAATTATAACGTTGTACTCTAAATTAATTTTTAGACGGAGGAAAGTAAATCAAAACTTGTGATGGAACCCAAGGAGCTAAATATTGGGAAGTTAGAAAACATCAGAATGAGGAATCATCTCGGAATAGCTAAGACCGCACATCGTTCAGGAGATCACAACCTGAATTCAGGTAAGTATAAAGAGGCAATTGAGTGTTACGAAATAACCATTGAAAGTTTAAATGTAATTGAAGATTTAGGACTCACTCTAGTTCCAAACATCAAGTCAATTCTACACTTAAATAAGGGCATGGCTTATTCTGGATTGAAAGAATATCAAAATGCAATTGACTGCTTCAAAAAGGGTTTATCACTTAGTGACGATAAGATTCCAGTAGCAAGAGGCAGCGAAGGCTTAGGTCGTGTTTATTTCGCGTTAGGCCAATATGAAGAGGCCATTAACAGTTATAAAATAGCTCTAGATGCAAACACTGCCATTGGGGACAAACAGAGAATTGCACATGAATACATCAATATTGGCGCTTGTTATGCAGTTTCAGGCGAAGAAAGAAAGGCTATTGAATACTTAAAAAAAGGCTTGGAAAGAAGTATTGCTGCTGACGATCGCATCGCAATTGCCGGCCACAAAAATTTAGGCCACTGCTATTCGAGGTTAGGGGAGCATAAAAATGCCATTTACCATTTCGAAAAATATTTCGAATTTACCTCCAAGGACAGTCATTCAAAATTTGAGATTATGGCTTTACTAATAGCATATAATGATTCAGGTGAAAGGAAGAAAGCCGTGAAATTATTAAAAAAAACCCCGCAAGTATTCAAGTTTGTTTTCGAAGCTAAAAACGCTAAAAACGATTCTGAATTTGCATCTGATTGTGCAAATGCGGGGCTTACGTATGCAATAAGTGGTGAAAATGAGAAGGGAATTGAGCTTTGCAAAAGGGGATTGGAAGCAAGCACTGCAATAGAAGATCATATTAATATCGCACGAAACAATAAAAACTTGGGTACAATCTATTCAATGATGGGGGAGCATGAAAAGGCTATTTACCATTACGAGGAAAATTTGAAGATTACCACTTCTATTGCCAGTCCCTCAGAGATTGCATTTCAAAATAGACTTTTAGGTGACGAATATCTTAGTTTGCATAAATACGAAGAGGCCATCGATTCTTATAAAACCAGCTTAGGAATTAACATTTCAATTGATTATTGCGAAGGAATGGTAGATTCGAAAATCCATTTGGCCTGTGCGTATCGCGCAATGGGAGAATTCGAGAAGGCCATTGAATGTCATGAAGAAATTAACAAACTTTGCATCGCTCGTGACTTCAAGAAAGGAATATCATTCAATTATAGCAATATGGGTTTCGTTTATGTTGAGTTAGGCGAATACAGAAAAGCATTAGATTGTTTCAAAAAAGTATCAACTGACGAGTTTAGCGATGACGATAAATCAAATATTGAAGCACATTATGCTAATATGGGCTGTGCTTATTTGTTTAACGGTGAGTATAAATTGGCAATCGACTCTTTCGAAAAATCGTTAAAAATAGCAACTGAAGAGGAAAACCTATCGCAAATAGCAATTACCAATTGCCTTTTGGGTCAAGCTTATCTGAAAGTAGAAGAGGAAGAAAAGTCTCTCAAATATTTAAAAGATAGTTTAGAAATCTGCACACAACTTGGTGATAAACCATTACTGTTTTCAAAAGCACAGCGCAGCATGGGTGATGTATTTTTGGGTTTTCGCGATCTTGAAATGGCGATTAATTGTTACACGAAAGGTTTAGAGAAAGCGGAAGAAGTGGGCAGTCAACGAGATATAGCAAGTTGTACTGCCTGTTTGGGTAATGCCTATTTTCATCTAGGGCAGTATGAAAAAGCGATTTTTTATTCGAAAAAGGCTTTAGAAATAAGCACTACTAATGATCAACGCATTTTAATACCATCAATCAATTTAGTATTGTGCAATATATATATCAATTTAGGTGAATATGAAAAGGCTATTGAATATTGTAAAGTGAGTTTAGAAGTTAGAACTGCTATGGGAGACCCCAAACAGATAGCAAGCTGTAATGAAACTTTTGGTAAAATTTATTCTTTGTCAGGGCAGTACGAAGTCGCATCAACATATTTAAGAAAATCTATTATCGACTACGATCAACTTTTCTTAAATGAGGTTCCAGATCTAAATAAGCTCTCATTTGCAAATAGCTACATCGAAGCTCATAACTTATTAATGAGTTGTTTCGTTTCTTTGAGTCGCATAGAATCCGGGTTATTAGCGATTGATTTGGGTAGAGCTAAAGAGCTTCATCTCTGCATTGAAAGGAAACACAATGCCTTGGACGAAAATATGTTGGGATATGCAGGTACTATATGGGATAAAATTGAGAACAGAGAAGAACAGGAAGAAATAGGGAGAATACAGAATATCTTCCAGGTAGAAAATAATGAAGCCTCAATATTGGTATTTGCTTTCGATATAAAAAAGTGTCTCAATGTTTGGATTTTAAATGGAAATACTATCTTTATGCAGTGGGAGGAAAAATTTGAGTCATTTCTTTGGTTGATAAGCAAGTTGTCTCAAAGCTTCGAAATAAGCATGAATCGCGATTCTTCATTTTTCAAGCTTTATCCTTCTGACAATCTGTTAAATCCAATGAATTCTGGCGTTGAAGTACCTAGCAAAATGTTTGAGCCCAAAACGTCGCTTGAGAATACTTCTGGCAAAGTTGATATGAACAATGAAAACATTTTAAAAGAGTTGTATAAGCTTCTTATTGACCCAGTTAAGGATGTGGTTAAAGGCAAAAAGCTCATTGTTGTTCCTGACAAGCAGTTGTTCTTTCTTCCATTTTCTTCATTGATTGATGAAAATGACTGTTATTTGTCCCAGAGTTACAGCATTCAAATAACGCCTTCGTTGCACACTCTAAAATTAAGCATGGAACGATCAAACGATTCGGCCGACTCTGGTTTTGCGTTGTTTGTTGGTAATCCAACTGTGGGAAGGGTCTCTTTAAATGACGTCCAAATAGAGCCGGCAAGCCTACCTAATGCTGCTGAGGAAGTTGCAAGTCTTTCAAAGCTCTTCGCAGCAAGGCCTCTAGTAAAAGCTGAAGCAAAAAAACAGGTTGTTCTCGAACTTTTAAGTGATGCTAGTATAATTCATATTGCTGCTCATGGTGAACCAAGGAGAGGAGAAATAATGCTTGCTCCTGACCTTTCCTTAAATGAACCATCTTCTTCTCTTCCTGATCAAGATTCCTATCTCCTGACACAAAAGGATATTACGGGAATTCCGCTGCAAGCTCGCTTGGTCGTCCTATGCTGTTGTCATACAGGGAAAGGTAAGATTTCTTCAGAAGGTGTCATAGGTGTAGCTCGGTCTTTTCTTGCTGCTGGAGCTCGCTCTGTTCTCGCCACACTCTGGCCCATTAGTGATGATGCAACAAAAGAGTTCATGGAAGCATTTTACGGCGAACTGCTTCAGAAAACGTCAGTTTGTGAAGCGTTAAGAAGGGTAATGAACCTCTTTCAGCAACACGAAAGAAAAGATTACCGCTCATTTTTTATTTGGGCTCCATTTACTCTCTATGGAGAGGATGTGATGTTTACAAAAGGCGACATTGAGACGATCAGAAAAAAATCCAGTGAAACTCTACCCGAGTGTGGTTTTGCGTTGTTTGTTGGTAATCCAACGTCAGACTTGCCTAAAGCCACTGAGGAAGTTAATTCTCTGTCAAAGCTTTTCAAAACCAAGGCCTTCGTGGAGGACGAAGCCAGGAAACAGGTTTTGCTGGGACTTTTGAGCGGGGCAAGTATTATCCATATTTCTGCACATATTGAACCTAAGCAATGTGCAATAATGCTTTCTCCATGTGTCTCCTCGAATCAAGCATCTTCCACTCTTCCTGAGCAGGATGACTTTTTGACGCAAAAGGATGTTCAGGGTCTTTCTCTGAAAGCTGGCTTGGTTGTTTTATGCCTACGTCTCTCTGAGCAAGACGAGATCTCTCCAGAAGGTGTTGAAACTTTAGCTCTGTCTTTTCTTGCAGCCGGAGCTCGCTCTGTTCTTACCACACTAGGGCACAGTGATGATGATGCAACAACAGAGTTTATAAAAGCATTTTATAATCACTTACTGCATGAATCATCAGTCAGGGAGGCGCTAGAGAAGACAAAGGAACTCCTAAAAAAGCGCGATAAAGGGTCGCATCGATCCTTTGTAGGTAGAGCTCCGTTTACAATCTACGGGGAAGATATGATGTTCCAAAAACATGATATCGAAACGATAAGAGAGAAATCTGACAAAATGTTTTCTGGTTTTGTTGTATTGCCATCTGATGAGCTTACTGGTTCGTTTAAAAATCTTGACCTGGAAGATAAACCATAGTATACGTAATCGTTGTCTTTCCTGTAGTTCATGTTTAGGAAAGTTATCAATTTACAGTTGATTTAATGTCAATTTAAAGAAAGTTATCAATAGTTTCGATTCTTTAGTAAGTATTTAACGCTTTTATAGTTAAAAGAATGTTTTTAACTTGAAAGGAAGAGTATACCAGGGTATTCTTAATGATATATTTCATTCAATCATGTAATCGTACAGTTCCGTTTGTATGAAATTCAGAATGTGCATCCGAGTTTTTATGTTTGTTTGCGTGTTTGTTGATGAGCGCGTAAACTTATTATTAAACATATTATAATACTATTATAAACATATTCTTATTAAGTGTATTTTTACCAAATTTTGTGTATGCATTTCCTCTCGGTCATCGAAGAATGATTAAAGTATTGTTAAATTTGATGGTAACTTTAAGGCAAAATTTCCAAAAATTATGTATTGTTTTTCCCGATCAGTTAGGAAAACGTCCTGCACGTGTACATTTATTCACGCACGCATGTATTGTGCTAGGACCAGGTTAGACCAGTTTCCTTTAGCTCAGCTTCATCAGTTACATGGCACATAAATTAACATTTTGCGGCTCTGTACGACGGTGCAGTCTCCGAGTGCCCTTTAAGACATGACAGAGGCAGATGTACTAATTTTATGTGCAATTTTTTCTCACCACAATCAGCAGCTATTTTCCACAGTTTGGTGTCCGTTATATAAAAGGCGATTCTATAGCATGCTGTTTACCACGCAAAGATCTTTCTGCTTTCTGGTGTAAGTAAAGCATTCAACCTTCAACTCATAGATTTACTAAACCTCTCTGAATGCAGGTTCATAGGCATCGCGCCCGCGAGACTCTACGCTCGCAGTAAAGAGAAAGAGCAGAGGTTTTCTTGTTGCATCATCACATAGCTGATAAACCGATTTAGCAATTGCAAAATCGAAGAGGCTCCCAAGAAACTCGAAGAGGCTGCCAAGCTGCATGCCACTCCATGTGGATCATGTAACTACAATTCCCAGTTTTCAAGAATTATCCAATGTGTTTTTCAACATTTCGAAGATAGATTGTTTCGTGCGTGAAATTTTATAAATTTGAAGGTTGTTTCATTTTAGTTATTTTATAAAGCAAATATTAAATGGTTTTAGCGTGATACTGCACTTGGGATTCGAGCTTTTTCACGCTTTGCGAGAGTCTTGCAATATCCTGCGTGCAGTATGACGATATGCTGCAATACTAAAACCATTTAGTATTCCATTAATGGTATACTAATATTGAATGTTTACGAGGGCAATGGTAAGAAGACTTTCATGAGGTGAAAGGTGGATTATTTCATTAACGGAGCCGAATTAATTGTTTTATACCACATCAAAGAAAACACAAAAAAGATTTAATGTTATTGAATAAACAGTTTGTGTTTATGAACAACCCCATCGGCCATATTATTTCGATTCGTGAACAAATGTGTCGAAGTACGATACCATTAATACCGTGCATGAGTGATTGAATTTTGTGAAAAAGAAAATGTGCATTGAGAAAAACTTGCACAGCTTGACAGTGCAATGAAAACATTCATTACACGGTCAGTAAAATGAAAATTTTCCATGTAATGCCACAAAATCACAAACAATTTAATTATAATTTATTATAATTTCTCTTTCAATGGAGGATAATGAAAAAATGCTCGTGAACAACGCTAGCTCTTCGCTTCTTCATATTAAGAAGAATTTGATTACTCGTTTTAAAATCCCAAAAGTTAATATTCCTCTCGAGTAAACAAATTTTTCATGGTTCTCAACAGTGTCGATTACTCAATTTCAGCATACCTCGGGAAGGTCCTGGGGTGTAATTCTAAAACATGGCTCTAGTACGAGCAAAGAGTAGCTATTACTCGCTATAAATTGTGACAAAGCACAGGACTTAGTTATCTTAAGTAAGAAAAAAACATTGACCTTTAACCAACATTCTATAACCTGGTGGAAAAACAATATCCGGATTTTATTGGCATATAACCAGAATAAGAAATAAGAAATATGATGATTATAATGATTCGAGCCTTCGTGCCTCGTGCAGAAGACCACGTCCCAAATTAGCAAGCAGTGATGTTCTAACTAGTCACGCGAGAACATTCCGCGTGCTTTGAAGATATTTCAATTTTATCATTTTATTAAAATCAGTCAAAAGAACTTCGCAAGGAAATCACGAGTAACATAATCACGAGTTGCAAAGGAATGGAAAGTTGCCAAGTTTCTGTGAAAAACTTTGCGGATGTGCCGTTTCAACGGAATACAAAATAATGTGGACACGGAGACACGGAAATTAAGAACGACGAAATTACATGAATTAGAAATATGAACTAGACCCGCGTAAAAAAAGGAAAAGAGACGCCCGATTGTCTAATATGCAGAGATATGGTGGAAGATGAAAGCCAAACAGTATAATTACCAATATTTACCATGTGGTTTACAGTGACCGCAGTAAAAGTGTACACTGATCTCTTTCGCCCAAGATTATAACATTCCTCTTTTTGCATTGAAAATGACGTCTTTTAGAAAAGCAGTAGCAATACTATAAATGGATTAAAAGGATATGAGTTTACAACGTGTATATTTACAACTCGATCATCGTGATTATATTCGAACAGTATTTCTCGTGGAAAAGGTGGCATATTGTCTCATGAACTTCACACCCTGAAGCGATGAAAACGTTCAAAAAGGATTCGTACAGTTCACAAGATGGTTATAAGGAATGTTGGTAATAATCTAAGTAGACATATAGATTTGAGCATAGCCTATATTAATGATACGTGGTAATGGAAGTGTTCAATTATACATAAACTTATTAGTTTATTAATTTACTATTTTGAAACCTCACTGTACATTTGATAAACGTCTTAATCATGCTCCAATCCCCTATGATTTTGGTCTAAATTCGGCACTCCTAATAAAGTTATCGAAGTGAGAAGTTGATCAGTTAAACTAAATTAAAAGTAAACCGTCGCGATACACCCAAGAAACAATATATCAATATATCAACACTTTCATTACCACAGCAGCTGCAATACTGCATGATGTTTAGATTCCTGACACTGCTGCTGAGCTCTACATTATCCTCCATCTCATGTCTTATACTTCTTTACCACATTACTTTTATTGAATACAAAAGTATAAAACATATATATAGTATAATAAAAAGTAGTTATTATCTTATATCATTTCACAAGTATAATATCTTAGCATTAAATTGGGACTTTAGAAGACCAATAAATTACATTCAATTTAAGTCGATCATAATAATTTAAATTAGTCCTAATTAAATCAGACCTGAAATCGATGAAAAGTTGATTTTTTGTCTATTTTTTAGTCGTATTGTAGACCGATATAGCATCACCATAAAAAATGTAATCATGCATATAATATGATTTGAATAATTACAATATATTGTTGTTTCAATAATCAAAATGGTTGCTTTCATGATTATATTTCCCGATATAATTAAGGCTCATTTCTTGGGTGCACTATAGGTGTTGTTTTTCAAGTATGATTTTACCTTACACTTTCTTCACTACTATCCCTCCCCTGGACTTTGTACTTATGATCTTTTTCAAAGACAGGAATTCATTTTATTTTTTCATTCTGTTGTCTGTACGTTAGAATTATTTGTACAGCAAGATGTTCAAATTCAATGGTATTGGTTATCAAAAAGTTGTTTGGTAAATAAAAATAGATATAAACTGTTAGTTGTTTGTTGTTACATGATTTTGTAATTTTTTTGAAACCGAATCACTTTATTGTGAAAAAGCATATCTTAATGAAAATCATAATTATAATCTTACCGCGTCATCATGCATTTAATATAAAAAGTTAAAATACTGGAACACAACAATATGTTAATTCGTTTTCCTTCCACGGGCTTCTTAAAACGTATGGTATTCAGGGTGTCCACATTTTACATAGTGATTTACTGTACTTCATGAACGAAAAGCAACTTAGGATCATGCAGTTAATGGCTAATTTTTTTTATATACTTTGCATGTTATTATAGTTCTTTGAAATATCGCAACCGATGATAATTATATATGCAATATTTCAAGGACAAAGCGAAAAAAGATGGTTGCTAAACGTTCACATAAGGTAAAGAGTTTCTATTTGAAATGTTTCAGTTAATGATGTGAAAGCCAATCAAAAGTAAATTTGCGGTATTGTACACGTGTGTCATGCTGCGACAGGAATTGCGAGTTTTGTGAGTCAAGCACGCCATCACTGAATATTTATTTTATAGATATTAGTTTTATTTCTACTGTTAATAAGGACTTGTATAACATGAGCTGAAAGCCGAGAATAAACAGCTAACCAGTGAATTAATTTAATGAAACCCGACAATCCATGAATTGTAAGTACGCGAATGTGTTTAGTTCAAAGAATTGAAGAAATGGCATAATTTTAGTTAATGTCACTGAAATATGAGCGAATGTTTTGTGCAATTGTCCATATCTTTTGGTAGTTAAAGCGTTCTTACAAGGCAAGGAGTTCCGATTAAGTTCCCCGAAGGGCAAGGTATGTAGCTCGGTCATTCTTATTACAATGCAAGATTTCAAATCATCTATAAGTTGCAGTCTGGCGTCTGACTGTATCACAGACAGCAAACATTCTTTCATGATTGTATACTTGTATTAAACACGACCAAACGATTGATATAAATAAATTAGACGTTAACTAGGCGTTAAGTCTCAGAGAAAAGTGATTTATGATCTGGATAGTTTTGCTAATTTGATAGTTTTGCTAGGCATGCTCTGCTATTGCACTTTTAGGTTTTAATTTACGGTACGGCGTCGTCACGCATTCAACATAACAAAATAACATACTGCGACATGACAACAAGGCCCTTAAGGCCGTGTTACACGCTGCAATTTTTCTTGCAACTTGGAATGGAATCCTACTTTTAAGAGATGTAAATTAGTACAAAGTACTCAAGATGTAAGTGTAAGAAACGCACATGGAATGTAACAAACATAAAAGTTTCGTAGTTGCCAAATTTACATCTCTCAAACGTAGAATTGCATTGCAAGTCGCAAGAAAAATTGCACCGTATAACAGGGCCTTTACATGGCCCTTTCAGAACATATGGTATTCACCGTGTTCATATTTTACATAATGATTTACTCCATGAAAAATACAATCCAAATACTATCCTCGACTTTGGATCCCAATAGTTTTGCTAATTTTTTTCGCTTTACTTTGCATGTTAGTGATTGTTTGAAATATCGCAACCGATGATAATTAATATTCACTCTTTTCAAAACAAAACGAAACAAGACGGTTGCTAAGTATTCATTTGAGCGACGAGTTTCTATTTGCGACGTCTCAAATAGCATTGGGAAGTCTCATCATTGAAAAGGCGATCATTGTCTACAAAATCAATGATTTGACATGACTTGTGCAAGCACATTTCACATAGTGATTTACTTCATATTCATATTCCGTATTTGGACACATTTGAAGATCTTGGCACTCGATTTCATGTCAATCAACATGCATTTATGAATCACCCACGCATATTTGATATTTGTATACCACGAATACGTTTCAATTTAGGATCAGAATATTCTTTCTCATCTTTCTCGTTTTACTTCGAATGTCAGTAATTCTTTAAAATATCTCGACCGATGATAATTACTATTCTAGCCGTTTCCAAGACAATATTAAAACAAGACGGTTGTTCTGCATGTGCTATCATTGATCTAACAAGTTTCTGTCTGAGATGTAACAAACTCTTCTTCACAAGTTCTTTTGATAGCGCCCATGCATAGAGCTTTACTAAATTGTTATGTTTTTTGGCCACATAGAATCTGGATTAATAATGTGTGATCTGGGTTGAGCTAAAGAGCTCCATTTTCTATTGAAACAAAACAATATTTCATGGCCAGAAATGCAGGCCGGCTAGCGGTGAGGAGTGTGGGCTCATGCGGTTCAGCTTTTCAGCGCATTTTTTCGTGCCGTGCAAGTGCCAGTCTTCAATTTCTAATATAAATATACAGTCTTCAATATCTGATATATTTGATAAATAATACAGTTCATACTCATTTTTAAAAAAGCCTGGCCAACCTAAATGTTGTTCGATCGCGAAAATCTGAAGCACATCGTACTTTAAAAAGTGTCGAAGTTCAATTGTTCAAAAATGTAAATAAACCGCATGATACATTCGCTTTGTCTTACACTTTGCCTTTAATTGGAATTCGTGCTTATATAGTTATAATTATTAAATCTTAAATCCTGTACAAACTGCGACGTATTAACGCGCCCATACACGAGCACATTTCGTTAAACGGCGAAATAGCAACGATATTATTAAAGTAGGACCAGAAACTACATGTATAAAATATATATTATGACCCCAATTAAATCTAAACTTAGTACAGGTCGAGTCGACACCCAAATGGTGCAATCATCTCTCAGCAGATTTTAGCAAAACAAAAATCAGTTCTGTCAAGAAACATTTTCGTCTTAGGCAGATTAATAAAAAACGAACAAGAAAAATGCATTTTTGATCTAATATTAATAAACATGAAAGATTATCACGAAAACCCGTGTGTTTTTCCACCATTTGGTCTTTCAGATTATAAGGTAATTACAGTCGAGGGAAAACAAAGAGAACATGCCAACACATCTAAATTTAAATATACTCGTGATAAAAGAGCTATCTATAGTCGGAAGGCGGAGATGGGAAGGTAGCCTACCTCAGTAGTATAAATTGGTCAATTCTTTCTTCCTTGGCATCAATTTAGGATTTAGTAAACGCCTTCGGTAGTGTGGTGCACACGGGGCTGGATATATTAATGCCAATAAAAAAAAATCGTGTAAACCCAACAGATTCTTAATCGACAGAAGGCTTTTAACAACCATGGTATTGGGTCAACGCAATATAAGTTTTACAGGAGTGCAGTGAATCGCGAAAGGAAAATGACTAAATCTAAGCGTTATCGTTCCAAAGTGGAACATATAAAACAAGTAAATAAAAAACGTGGTAGAAAGAAGTTAAGAGGTTATCTGGTCCCCAATCTCGTACGGACGATCTGATCAATCAAATACAAGTCGGTAGCATAGGAAATTATACAAGAGAAGAAATAGAAAATGCAGTAAACAAAGCTTTTCTTGACCCATTATAAGAATATCGCATATCTCAACCAATAAATGTCCTCTACCCATAGACGAGGCATCTTACATCTATGATGTATCTTGAGGTTACGGAATATAAGTTCAAACAGTGCTATCAAAACGGAATCCATCAAAGGCCTGCGGTCCAGATGAAATTACCGAGTGGTTATTGAAAGAATATTCTATGCTCCTTGCTTTTCCTGTAAGTAAAATATTTATTTAATACCTCCTTCAAAGAAATGAGGATTCCTTCTATTTGGAAAGTTGCAAATGTAATTCCACTGCCCAAAGTGAAACCAGTCGAAAATTTAAGATGTGTTTCAGCCTATTAATATAAATGGAAAGGATTTAGAAGTAGTCGGAAGCGCGAAATTGCTTGGGCTCACAACAGTAACAATTAATGATCTTAGGCATTTGAAATAAACGACAAAATTTTAAATTGCAAACATCTTTCTTCTTAACTATATATAAGATATCTTTTTGTGCTATTCAGATCAATTAGTGATCTATTTAAAGGTTAGAGACTGTTGTGAGTGTTCATTGTGTGGTCAGCAGGTTCGTTGATTTGTGAACAAAACACCAACATAACGTCTGATAACACTTTTAGTATACAATCTGAGTTCATTGATAGCTGCATTGAAGACCCAAGCTTCGTTGCAGGCTGTCATTTTTAATAAACCACTGATGATTTTCATGAGTTATTGCGAATAAACCACGATTTTAATGGGTTATTGCGAATAAATTATGATTTGCATGATCTGTCGCCAGGCAACAAGAAACCACGTGATTGATTTTGACCAATCGCGTGAGATTTAGGCTAATGCACGAAGGTTGGAATATTCATATATAAAACGTTGTGAAGAAAGCAGCAAAACGGTTATACTTTCTTGTTCAATTAAAAAGAGCTAAAAAACTACCTCGTAAGGATTTGCTTCTTTTTATGTCACATGTATTCGATGTATTATAACCTATACAATCCCTGTCTTCTTCTCTTCTATGCCTTGCCGAAGTACCTTCAAAACGAGCTGAAACGTTTACAAAACAGGAAACAATAAACGTTTTATCTCACCAAATTGGCATACAAATAGATTTGAAACACTTTTATATTACATATACTTTTAAAATATAAAATTATCAACTTTCAGTTTGCTATAAAAATTATGTAACAAGATCAATCCACTCAGATTAAAATTTTCCATGCATTACAAACTATAAAATCGTTCTTAAATCTTTTTGTTTTGGAAGGTGGTGTTTGAAACTTCCTTTTCTCTCTCAGAGATATTTCTGAGGTTTTGAAAGGAGGTAATAGGTGGTGCAATTTATTCTCGGGGTCATTTACAATAGTTTTAATAGATCTCACATTGAGATCGTTTATCATGACCAAAAACTTGATTGTTGCATGTAAATACGCAATTCAGCTTTTGAGCAGCCCGTGTATTTATTTATTTTAATTGCAAATTACAAATTACAAAGTACGATGTGCTATCTGAATGTCGAACAGGTTTAGGTTTGCAACGCTTGTAAATGGATATGAACAATAGTGTTTATGTTCAGAAGCTTTGCATTGAAAAGACTGGCACACGCGCTGTGTGCCGGAGCAGGCGTCTTGTAACTAGAAATACATACATGCAAAATCCCCATTCCTATTTGAGGCAATTAAAGGATAGGGTAATAAAAATTGTCTCTGTTTTGTTGAAAAGAAAATTTGCACTTCTTATAGAGTGTTTTTACAAAATATGGTATTCTTCCTTACTTCGGAAGATATTGGCGATCAAAAACATCGGATATCGAGACATATCCGCCATCTTGTTTTATAATGAGATCTAATTACGTGACGTCGAAAGCAGGGTTGACGCTTAAAAAATAACAATTACATGTTTACGCGTTAGTTTAGAACTCCCCCAATTAAGCGAGTCTAGCTACGGCCCTGCTTCCCATTGCGAGGTTTTTAAAACAAGATTCGCCTTTAAATGCAAATGAATTTGATGAAATTCGCCTTTTCATTCGCGGGAATAAATGAAAATCTCCAGGCGGAATGCGTTCCCTCGCACAGACTGTGCTTCAAGCCCACACGGGGTTTATGGTAAACGCGAATGAAAAAATCGTGCGAAACGACCACAAACAATATGGCCGAATGTCACTGGCATACGAGAACTAGGTATGTTCTCATTGGTCACCGATAAAAATCATTGATAACTATTGTCAGTGATCACATGCAAGAGAATAAGTGCCGTATTTTTTTCGTCATTCCTTCACGAACAATAAGGAACTTAAGCAAATGACGTTCTTCGAGCCAACGGCAACGTCATTGTCGCAAAAAGCCTGGAAACTGCTATGCCGTTCTCCGCGAATTTCAAAGCATTTAAACAAACTGCAGCGACGGGAGATGTCTTCGTTTAGCACAGTTTGAAGAAAGTGTTCTGACTGAAGAAGAGTTTATTTTATTGCACTTAAGCGTACGATTCAAGGAATCCAAAGTTTCCAAACAGCAATTATTGTCTGAATGACATGAACGAAGCCGAATGTTTAGCAGAATTTAAACTACAAAAGCGCGACCTTGTATTTCTTCAGAAAACTCGACCTTGAACCGCCTCGCATATCCATGTCAATACTCCGATACCGATTGGTTCCGGAGATGTGCATGATATCAAATTTGGTTACTGTTCTTATATACGATAATCACGGACATAGAGTAATTCAATGGAACCCACACGTTCTAAGTCCAGGCTTAGTTGCCATTTGTAGCCAAATTTTATAGCTTGTTTGCGCCACGTTTTAGAGACAACGGCAAAATAGCCCATTACAGGTAATTGGCGCCATAGAAATAATAGACATAGAATGCGTACTGATACCTCTTCCCTCATAAAAATTTGTCTCCAAAGATAGCGGATTTATAAGGGCATTTTTCCTCGTTTCAGACTCCTGCGAGAAGTTTTATGTGCGCGGTCGCGACGAGAGAGATATGAATATGAGTAAGTTTGAGAGAAAAGCTTGTTTTTGTTTTTGTTTTTGTCACGCACTGGAGCATTAATTGGTTTTGGTTTTGATTACATTGTTTTATGAATTGACTGATGGAGTCTGATAGCTGTTCCTAGCTTTCGATCAATCTTGTTTCAAGCGTACATAAGTCATAGCTAATACGGAAAAAATGGAATCCTTTTTCGCTGTCCACCTTAAAACGCAGTATTTATTGTGTGAAAAATGAAAATTACCTACACAAAATAAAGACAAGGCATAACTTTTAGAGTCTTTAGTACATAATTAACACTTGATCTCCTCTGGTACTGAGTTACGCTAAATGATGTTTTTGATTGTATTAAACTCATTTTATGTGTTCTTATTTATTCAGAAAATGCACGAGAAGCGAAATAAAATATAGTCATAGTCATTTCTCTTCCCACTTCTTCAACTATTTATGCAGAAATCGCTCGTTTTTACGTGGAAACCTGTTAAAAATCTATACATTGTGATATGTTTTTCGTAGCTAGGCAAAAAGGTTTTTAACCATTTATCGTTGCATCAAAGCAAGGTCATGGGAAAAAATTATCAAGTTCAAGCCAAATAACAATTTATGTAAACAAACGGTTGCATGTAAAAAACGCGAAACTCCTCAAAAAACAAAGCACAATTGAAAAATTCGCTAGACAATAGTAATTGACAACCTATTACAATAAACATGATTCTCTACTAACTATATTTCCTACATAACAATGAATATATATAGCGATAGGCCGGTGGTTTGTCAGTTGTGCGCTCAACGGTGAAAATCGATTCTTTCTCGATTGTCGATTATCGCTTGTCGCTTTTTCTGTTTTTTTTTCTGTTCTGCAACTTGATGCCGAACTGGGTTTGGCATTTTTGCCTCTGTGTGCTAATAATTGACTTTATAATATAAGTATGATATAACGAGCAATTTGATTGGCTACCGCGCGTGCATTGTGAGGCCATAATGCACGCTTCTGGCTTTTGAAATTTTTGTTGCTAAGCAACATCTTAAATAACATGTAAGGAGAATTTCATTATTGATCAAATAAATAAATTTTGTTGTTGCCCTATAATTTCTTCTTATATTATAAAAGAATTAAAAAAGCTCGTCGCGTGCCTTTATGGTGTAATAATGCACTCGGGGAAATGTTGGAAGAATACTCGAGAAGCTTGTAAAACACTCGGCTACGCCTCGTGTTTTACAAGCTTCTCTCGTATTCTCCCAACATTCCCCCATCGTGCATTATTACACCATAAACGCACGCGACTCGTTTTTTAATTTAAGTTTTGAATTAAAAGTTTTGAAAGATTTCTCACTCCTCGCGAGATTCAAAATGGCGTATTTATTAGGGCACAGCATGAAAAAATGTGGGACACGTATTCGTGATAAGTACGCATTTTATGTCTATTATTTCTATGGTTGGTGCCGAGTCGCGACGGCAACAACTAAACTCAAAAAATATTTACCGGAAGTGAAACTGACTTCCGGTAGCCGTCGCCGCGTTCAAAAACGTTAGTGCATATTTAAGTTCCCTAATATATCGCCGACGGCCCGACGGTGGTCGGTGATCATTGAGAATCAGAACCAAGTAATGGTAATCTCTCACATATGAATTATTGCTGTGTTAAAATTTACGCGCTGCGCGCTGCTACAGCAGCAGTTATAAGCTGGTTACCACTCATAAAACTTGCATGTTTCTTCAAGTCTGTATGACAGAGTCTAAACCAGACGTCATAGCTTCAAGTCTTCGTTCTAGGAAATATTAGGAACGCGTTTCAGGAAATGTCTGGAACATGTTTTAGAATGCTTTTCGAACACGTTTGGAGCTTTGAATTACTTCCAACTACTGAAACATTCATCGTAATTAACATCGTATTCTATATGTTTCAGGCTGAAAAAAGTAGACCGAAGCACAAAATGTCTCAACGAATGGTAATGGAAACCAATCAGGAAATCGAATATCACAAAAGTTGTCTACAAAAAGCCACCGATTCCAATCACACAGAAATAGCCAATAGCGCACAATATTTAGGAAATGTCTATCTCCGTTCAGGTGAGTTTAAGAAGGCGATTGAGTATTATGAAAAAGGTGTGGAAAGTTGCATCGCAATTAACAATTTTTCAGATTTAGGAAGTCAATACGGAAATATGGGCACGGCCTATTTTCTGTTTGGGGAATATACGAAGGCTATTGAGTGTATGGAGAAAAGTTTGTCGTTCAATATCGATCAAACAACAAATGCACAAAACAATGGCAATATTGGTGTTGTTTATCACCTACTAGGCGAATATGAAAAAGCTATTTTGTACTACAAGAGATGTTTAGAAATCGTGACCGCTATTAACGATCGCTCAGAGATTGCATGCAAGAACACATATTTAGGTGATGTTTATAAGATTATAAAACAATACCAAAAAGCAATCGAGTGCTTCAAATTAGCTTTGAATGCATGCACTGAAACTGGAAACCAATCAGGAATCGCATGTAACTGTACAAAACTTGGCACTTGCTATAGATTTTTAAACGAAAACAGGAAGGGTATTGAATTTTCCGTAAGGGGCTTAGAAGCAAGCATTGCTATTGACGATCGAGCAGCAATTATGATAAACAATAGCAATTTGGGCATGTTCTATTTAAACTTGGGAGAGCATGAGAAGGCTATTTATCATTACAAGAAAAACTTGGAGATTCACTCTGCTATAGGTGATATATCGGAAATTGCAAAGGATAATGAACATTTGAGCACTGTTCATCAAAGTTTAGGAGAGTATGAAAAGGCGATAGACTATGATAAAAAACGTTTACAGTTAAATACTTTTCTTGGCGATAGTTCTGCAATGGCAAATACTAACGTCAGTTTGGGCAGTAACTATCTTGCTTTAGGAAGAAATAAAGAAGCACGCGACTATTTCAAAGAAGCTTTAAAACTTAGCACCGCTATAGGGTACCAGAGCGGAATAGCGAACAGTTATGGCAATTTGGGAAATATTAATAGTAACTTAGGTAAATATGATAAAGCGATTGATTATTCCAAAAAAGCCTTAGACATATGCAATAGTATTGGTGATAAAACAGGAATTGAGAAAAATAGTAACAATTTAGGCTGTGTTTACTTTCATTTGGGTGAATATAATAAAGCTATTAAGTGTCTCGAAAAATCTTTTGAAATAGCAAAAGAAATGGATAACAAATTGAGTGTAGCACGTGCCGCTAACAATTTGGGTGAAACATATGCAAGATTACGAGAGTACGAAAAAGCCATCAGTTATTCAAAAGTTGGCTTAGAAATTAGCACGGCAATCAACAACCGGTCATGTATGGCAAATAGCAATGGCGTTTTAGGTAATGCATATTTCTTTTCCGGAGAAACTGAAAGAGCAATCGACTATTATAAGAAAAATCTAGAATTAGAAACGGCAATGGGTATTAAAAAGGGAATAGCTGGGGCTAATGGCAATTTGGGCAATGCATATTGTAGTCTTGGGGAATACGACAAGGCTATCGATTATTACAAAACGAGTTTCGAAATAAGCAATTCCATTGGTAATCGCTTACAAATAGCAACGATCAATAGCAATTTGGGAAGTATATATAGAAAATTAGGTGAATACGAAAAGGCCATTGAGCATTGTAAAACGGGCGTAGAAATTAGCATTGGCACTCGCGATCCCTTTCTGCTAGCAGGCAGTTACCATAATCTTGGTATCGCTTACCAGTGTAAAGGAGAGTATGAAGTTGCATCAACAGAGTTAATGAAATCAATTAGCATGTTCGATGAACTATTCCTAGAAAAGGTTCCAGACCAAAACAAACTCGCCTTTACAGGAAAATACTTCCACGTCCATAAAATTTTAATGACTTGTTTCACTTCTTCGGGCCGCAAAGAATCCGCATTATTAGTGATCGACCTTGGAAGGTCTAAAGAACTTCATCTCTCCATTGAAAGGAAACGGAATTCATTTGATGCAGATATGTTCAGCTATGCACGTTCTATATGGAGCAGAATTGAGAAAATTGAGGAAAATCTGGAAATAGAGCGAATACAGAACATTCTTCAGGTGGGAAACGATGAAACCTCGATATTAGTATTTGCTTTTGACTTGGAAAATTCACTCAATGTTTGGGTTTTGAATAGTGATGTCATCTTTAAGTGCTTGATATCAGATGAACGATTAAGAAAATTTCCCTTCCTCTTAAATAGGTTTTACACAAAGATAGGTGTAACTGTGAATCGAAATTCTTCATTTTTCCAACAGGATTCACTTTCAAATGTCGATAGTTTTGATAGTCATTTGATCTCACCACCAGCAAAGCCATGTAAAAAAGGAAGGCTTGAAGACTTGTACGAAAAAGATCCGTTTCCTGATCATTTAAGCCATGAAACTATTTTGAAAGGACTGTTCGATCTTCTCATTCAACCGATAAGAGATGCTGTCAAAGGAAATAAGCTCATTGTTGTTCCTGACAAGCAATTGTTTTTTGTGCCATTTTCGTCCCTGATTGATGAAAATGGGAGGTATTTATCTCAGAGTTACAGCATTCAAGTAACGCCCTCATTACACACTCTGACGTTTACCAAAAAACAGCACAAAAACTATGAACTCGGCTTTGCGTTGTTTGTTGGTAATCCAAAAGTTGGGAAGGTTTCTTTGAATGGCAAAGATTTCATACCTGCTGAACTACCTAAGGCAGCTGAGGAAGTAAACTGTCTTTCAAAGCTCTTTCAAGCTAAACCCTTAGTAGGAAGTGAAGCTAGGAAAAAAGTCGTCCTCAGCCTTTTAGGTGGTGCTACTATAATTCATATTGCTGCTCATGGTGAACCGAACAGAGGTGAAATAATGCTTGCTCCTGACCTTTCCTTAAATGAATCATTTTCGTCTCCACCAAATCCAGATTCCTATCTCCTCACACAAAACGATATTACGGGCATTGCACTGCAAGCTCAATTGGTTGTTCTGTGCTGTTGTCACACAGGTCAAGGCGAGATTTCTTCAGAAGGTGTCATAGGTATAGCTCGGTCTTTTCTTGCTGCTGGAGCTCGCTCTGTTCTCGCCACACTCTGGCCCATTAGTGATGATGCAACAAAAGAGTTTATGGAAGCATTCTACGGCGAACTGCTTCAGGGAACATCAGTTTGTGAAGCCTTAAGAAGGGTAATGAACCTCTTTCAGCAATACGAAAGAGAAGATTACCGCTCCTTTTTAATTTGGGCTCCATTTACTCTCTATGGGGAGGATGTGATGTTTACAAAAGGCGACATTAAAAAAATCAGAGAAAAATCCGAGTGTGGTTTTGCGTTGTTTGTTGGTAATCCAACGTCAGACTTGCCTAAAGCCACTGAGGAAGTTAATTCTCTGTCAAAGCGTTTCAAAGCAAAGGCCTTCGTGGAGGGCGAAGCCAAGAAACAGGTTTTGCTGGGACTTTTGAGCGGGGCAAGTATTATCCATATTTCTGCACATATTGAACCTAAGCAATGTGCAATAATGCTTTCTCCATGTGGCTCCTCGAATCAAGGTTCTTTGACTCTTCCTAAGCAGGATGACTTTTTGACGCAAAGGGATGTTCAGGGTCTTTCTCTGAAAGCTGGCTTGGTTGTCTTATGCCTAGGTCACTCTGAGCAAGACGAGATCTCTCCAGAAGGTGTTGAAACTTTAGCTCAGTCTTTTCTTGAAGCCGGAGCTCGCTCTGTTCTTTCCATACTAAGGCACAGTGATGATGATGCAACAACGCAGTTCATAAAAGCATTTTATAATAACTTACTGCATGAATCATCAGTCAGGGAGGCGCTAGAGAAGACAAAGGAACTCTTTGAAAAGCACGATAAAGAGTCGCATCGATCCATTGTAGGTCGTTCTCCGTTTACAATCTTCGGAGAAGATGTGATGTTTCAAAAACACGACATCGAAAAGATAAGAGAGAAATCTCACAAAATGTTTTCTGGTTTTGTTGTATTACCAACTGATGAGCTTACTGGTTCAGTTCAAAATTTTAACCTACTAGATAAACCGTAGTATTGGTAATCTATTCAGTCGTTCAAGTTTAGGAAGGTTATTAATCTTATAGGTTCTGCACAATATTAGTTTCTGGTTGTTTAGTCCTCGTCATTAAAGAAAACAGTCAGAATGGGAGGGCATACCGGCTGTAAAATTTTGAAATAAATAATTACGAAGTGTATTTATACCAAATTTTGTTAGTGAAATTCTTATCGGCCATTAAAGAATTCGTGAGTGAGTTTCCTATCGGCCAAACAGAAGCAGTAAATTTATGCGAAATTTCTTCTAACCACAATTAACAGCTATTTTCCAGAATTTGGTGTGTGTTAGACAACAAGCGATTAATTCTATGGCATGGGGATCACCACGCAAAGATCTTTCTGGTTTCTGGTGTAAGTATATAATTCAACCTTCAACTTAGATTTAGTTTAGTAAACCTGCCTGAATGCAGGTGCATAGGAGCCGCGCCAGCGATACTCCACACTTGCGGTAAAGAGGAGAGGTTTTTTTTGCATCATCACACAGCTGATAAACCAATTCATCAACTGGAAAATCGAAGAGGCTGCCATGCTGCATGCTACTCCATCTGGATCATGTAACTACAATTCCTATTTTTTAAAAATTCTCCAATGTCTTTTTCAACATTTCGAAGATAGACGTACTTGTTTCGCGTGAAATTTTCTCCTCAGTTTCTGCTCAATACCATACAAACAATGGTATAACAGAAGGGCAATGGTAAATAATATTTTCTCAAGATGAAAAATGGATTATTCTCTTCATGGAGGAGAATGATTTGTTTTATACAACACAAAAAAAACCGCAAAAAAGATCTAACTTTATTGAATAAACAGTTTGTGTTTATGAGTAATTCCATGTTCGGACTCGTGATCAAATGTGTGCAAGTACGATACGATTAATGCTGTGATTGATTGAATTTTGTGAAAAAGCAATTGTGCATTGAGAAAACTTCGACGGCTTGACAATGCAGTGGAAACATTCATTACACGGTCAGTAAAATGAAAAATGTTTATGTGATGCAACGCAATTGAAAGACTTAAAATGAATAAGGTATTAAATGATGGCATTATTTCACTTTCAATGGAGGATAATGAAAAAATGCTCGTGAACAACGCTAGCTCTTCGCAGCTTCATATTAAGAAGAATTTGATTACTCGTTTTAAAATCCCAAAAGTTATTATTCCTCTCGAGTAAACAAATTTTTCGTTGTTCTCAGCAGTGTCGATTACTCAATTTCTGCATATCTCGGGAAGGTCTTGGAGTGTAATTCTAAACATGGATCTAATACGAGTAGAAAATAGCTATTACTCGCTATAAATTGCGACAAAACACAGAACTTAGTTATCTTAAGTGTAAAAACATTGACAATTAACCAACATTCTATAACCTGGTGGAAAAACAATACCCGGATTTTACTGGCATAGAACCAGAATAAGAAAGAAGAAATATGATAGTTGTGGTGATTCGAGTCTTTGTGCCTTGTACAGAACACCACGTCCCAAATTAGCAAGCAGTCATGGTCTAACTAGTCACGCGAGAACATTCCGTATGCTTTTAAGATATTTTATCATCTTATTAAAATCAGTCAAAAGAACTTCGCAAGGAAATCACGAGTAACATAATCACGAGTTGCAAAGGAATGGAAAGTTGCCAAGTTTCTGTGGAAAACTTTGCAGATGTGCCCGTTTCAACGGAATACAAAATAATGTGGACACGAAAACACGGAAATTAAGAACGACGAAATTACATGAATTAGAAATATGAACTAGACCTGCGTAAAAAAGGAAAAGAGACGCCCGATTGTCTAAAATGCAGAAAGATATGGAAGATGAAAGCCAAACAGTATAATTATCAATATTTAGCATGTTGTTTGCAGTGACTGCAGTAAAAGTGTATACTGACCTCTTTCGCCCAAGATTATAACATGCCTCTTTTTGGATTGAAAATGACGTACGTCTTATAGAAAAGCAATGGCAATACTATAAATGAATTAAAAGGATATGAGTTTATAACGTGTATATTTACAACTCGATCATCGTGATTATATTCGAACAGTATTTCTCGTGGAAAAGGTGGCATATTCTCTCATGAACTTCACACCCTGAAGCGATGGAAACTATCAAAAAGGATACGCGCAGTCCACAAGATGGTTATAAGGAATGTTGGTCATAATCTAAGTAGACATATAGATTTGAGCATAGCCTACATTAATGATACGTGGTAATGCAAGTGTTCAATTATACATAAACTTATTAGTTTATTAATTTACTATTTTGAAACCTCACTGTACATTTGATAAACGTCTTAATCATGCTCCAATCCCCTATGATTTTGGTCTAAATTGAGCACTCCTAATAAAGCTATCGAAGTGAGAAGTTGATCAGTTAAACTAACAGTAAACCGTCGCGATACACCCAAGAAACAATATATCAATATATCAACACTTTCATTACCACAGCAGCTGCAATACTGCACGATGTTTAGATTCCTACCACTGCTGCTGAGCTCTACATTATCCTCCATTTCAGATCTTATACTTCATTACCACATTACTTTTATTTAATACATAGAGTATAATAAATAGTTAACAAGTTATTATCATTTCACATGCAAGTAATATCTTAGCATATAGAATTGGGACTTTAGAAGACAAATGAATTACATTCAATTTTAGTCGATGATTAAAATTTAAATTAGTCCTATATTTAAATCAGACCTAAAATCGATGAAAAGTTGATTTTTTGTCTATTTTTAGTCGTATTGTAGACCGATATAGCATCACCATAAAAAATGTAAACATGCATATAATATGATTTGAATAATTACAATATATTGTCGATTCAATAATTAAAATGCTTGCTTTCATGATTATATTTCTTGATATAATGAATCCCGATCCATTTACGATACCTTCAAAACACAGCCACTATCTATCCGACAAATACGCTTTGCTAATAATATATCGTTTCTTTGCTAATAATATATCGCTATCGTTTCTTTGATTAACATTTTTGATCATGCGATTAACGTGTTAGATTTGCAGTTCCAACGTAACCAAATGTCGTGTTTAAAATGAGGCGCTATTAAATAACAGAGCAGTGTGTACAACTAACACCAAAGATGATGACCTACTACGTTGAACGCGATTTTTATTAAAATCTGTTCTAAAAATGTGCTTTATTATGACTAATTAATAGCAATGGGTTTGATTAACTACACAACTGTGACCAAACATTGTGAGGTTAAGCACTGATATTGATTGATTAGAGGGAAATAGCTACAAACGATAAGGGTAAAGCAGAAGCCAGGTCTTGCATAAAAAAATAATTGAATGCATAAAAAAATAATTGAATTCGCATGTCTCCAGCCAATTTAAGTGTACTCTGACCCATCATTTTCTGATGTTTCATGACAGATGAATTTGTGTATGATCACGGTAAGAATTCATATATTAACTCAATTTCCTTGTATCTTATCGGCCAGTCAAGGTTATGTTAGATAACGTTAGTTCTTATACGTTTCATTTTTAAGATGAGGGAAAAAGTGAAACCATGCTTTTGACTTTATAATTTGAATATTTCGATCACTTTATTGGAACGTGAAGACATCATCATATACACTGGCGGTCAAAAATAACTGCTCAAATGTTATTATTGTCGTATGTGACAGGAATCGTGACAATCTATCTTTTATTGTACACTAGCGGTCAAAAAGAACTGTTTAGATACAAATTCGTAAAAAAGAAGCGAATATAGGAGAGGGCTTCATAGGTATTTTGTATAATTCTCTTATTCCAAACAATATTTCAATAATGTAATGCAACGTGCCACACTTCCAAGAAATAGTCAAACAATGGTTTCAGGAAGAGGGAGTGACAGAAATGGATTGGTTAAAAGACATTAACCCTATTGAAAATCTGTGGGACAATGTCAAGGGGATAGTGCAATAAAGGAATTCATCCATAAAGCGTCCATGATTTATGCGTTGCTGTAAAGACTGTCCATAGGATGAATTTCTTTGGACCGTGAAGATTACCACCTTAACAGAAAGTATGTCGCCGGTGTAAGGCCGTCATCAATTATAAGGCCAAAGGAGGGTCAACAAAATATTAATATTTCACATAGCTTAGCATGTAATCTAGTCTATATTTACTCGTATATATTGTTAGAGGGACTGTTATACGTTCACTTGACAGCATTTTAACTTGTTTTGAGCAGTTCTTTTTGACCGCCAGTGTATATAGACATAATTTTTAAACTTTATATTCGTATAGCTAAGTACAGTAATAATATGGTCGACTTTATTGATTGAGATAAACAACCATGTTAGTATATGGCTGCTCACGGCTGGGCATGCCAAGAGATAAGATGAGAAAGCACGCGGGCCGGTAATAATCAATTTTTACAAAATTGATTAGATGGACATACATGTGACAGTTCATTGATAAAAAATTTTATCATCTCTTTTCTTCTATACGCTTTGTTCGATGAGATTCGAATGGTCGAGGAGTGTGTTTGTGAATTAAGATCAGAAAGTGTGCCAAGAATCACAAAGTAGATCTTAGGGCCGAACAACTTGCTCACGGAATTACTGCAGCATGGTGGAACTTAAAATCCAAGGGCAAATAAGCATTAGACAAGTGTTGACGGACGGACGACGAAACAGAGACGGCGATTCGGGTGTAAACTGAGGCCCGGTTCATATAGCGTTCATATATAAGGGTTTATATATATATATTTAATATGTGATCTCTTAAAGACTGTGTCTATATGCCTGAATAAATTTGAAAGTCAGCATGCCCTTGAATCTATTTTATATAAATAGAAGAGTTTAATTGAAACAATGTGAAATTAAATGTTGATTGTGGATGAATGCAAATATCCCCCACACAGCAACCAGCTGTCTGCCCACGAGGAGGCATTTAATCAGTCTTCGTATAACAAAGATACGTCGCTTTAAACTGTTTGTAGTTTCCTGTGATATGGCTGTGACTGTGTGAGATGTAAGTCATCAAAGAAACATTCCAACATTCAAACTTCGACAAATTTAAATATCGGTCAAATTGTTTGGCAAATACTCGCTTCGGTTCAAATACAGACAAGTTAAGATCTTAAGTAGAGAAATGAACGCGTAAGAGTTATCGAATTGTGGCAAGCAACGTCGCATTAAATGTGGTACATCAACTTAGGCATATATGCCATAATCATTTTGTACATAAAATACATGAAATAATAGATGCGGATGTAGGAATTGTTTGCATATATGTTTTACCTAAATTAGGCCCACTCGTTTGTTCGCGGATTAATGAAGAGGAGATTTTTTAAAAATTGAGAAACTTGGGTTCAAGAATACCGTCATGCTTTGCGAAAAATATGTAAATTTTGTTGTTTTTTGGAACATGGCGACAAAGGGGTGAATTTATTAAATTTTGTTCTATTTTTGATATGAAAACATACTCGATGGTTCATCTAAAAGACGAAATATTAAATTCAACATATTTCACTGTCATAGATGTACATTAAATTTGCCCCGACGATATGATAAACAAACAGATCTTGGATCCTGCTCAGCAAGACATCGCTTTAAATTCCACGTATCAAATCATGCATTCTCTTTATATAGCACATACGTCGTGCATCTTTGCTGCATTCAATATTGCTTATAACTGGGGCTATAAAAACCTCATCCGTCTTCACAATCAACTTTCCTGCCAAAAACGAGTTTACCTTTTTCTTTCGTGAATTCGGCTAATACAGAAGGGTATATAGAATCATGCAGGCATGCGACGTCCTGCCGTGAGCATCTCTAATTAAAAATAATTACTTATCTTCAGTCTCATTTAAATATAATGGACAATTTTATTATTATATATATATGCACTTAGCATGCATATTGGTATGTATAAATGTGAAGAAGTTATGTTTATACCGGTGTATATGGCTGCCGTGAGAAGACTAAATTGAATGACATTTCAAGTTAAACTTGGGCTAAACCTATACATGTATGAAATTGTATGATCACGGTAAGAATTCATTTATTAACTCAATTTCCTTGTATCTTATCGGCCAGTCAAGGTTATGTTAGATAACGTTAGTTCTTATACGTTTCGTTTTTAAGAGGAGCGAAAAAGTTCACTTTATTGCAAAGTTAAGACATAAACATATATATATATATATATATATATATATATAATTATATATATATATATATATATATATATATATATATATAGACATAATTTTTAAACTTTATATTCGTATAGCTAAGTGTAGTAATAAACCAGAGAGGTGCTGAAATCACCTAACGCTCGCCTGCACTGTTTGTCTAGAATAAGGCTAAACTCTGTATGAAAGGTATCTGTATGAAGCACAAATTACCGATCTTTTTATTACAAATTACAAGGCTAAAATCCGCGTTGGAAGGTAATATTAAGCACAAACTTCAGATATTAGTTGTGACCTCAGAATTACTGGCCAAAACTGGCCTCGGAATTACATTAGTTTTATTTGTGACCAATATTTCTTCCGTTTCTCGCAATCCGCGCACGTGATATCAACAGGTAAGTTAACGGACCAGGCAAAAGGCCCTGCTTTAAGCCGGGTGCACACACAACGATTTTACGGTAGTTGGTCCATTCAGGTTTAGACATATAGGCAGCCCTTGCCCAGACATGTTTTCCTTCTCGCGGCGCTCGCGCCTCGCGCGTGTACGCGAGTCTACTTGGTCACAGAGTGATTTGGTCTAATATTAGTGAGCTTAAGCAAGTGACGTTTTTGACATCACAAACGGCATGAGTAACGCCAAAAGACTGGGTCAAGAATTGTGATTGGTGAAAAATAAAAACTTTACTTCCGGTCAACGTACGTGTTGTCAAAAACGTCACTTGCTTAAGCTCACTATTATCACAGGTAGCCCGCTAATGGATTTGCTTTTGGTTAAATATTTAATACATTCTATGCAAAACGACATGAAGTGTCACCTTCCTTCATTCACTGCTGACATATTATCGCCTGCGCCAATTCGTGCGGTGCAGTGGCAGTGTGTAACCTTTATGTATATATTAATATAAGGTTGGCAACTCTTTGTCGTATTTTCACATTTACGAATTACATACACAAACTTACACATGAAAATACTCGTACTTAAACACAAAAATATACACAAAAAACTAAATCTATGTGGGAACTGACTCTCCTAAAACATTTCCGAAACTTTTGTTTGTCTTTAAAGCCATTGCAAATATGTGAAATTTACGAAAATACAAACACTTTTTGGGTGAATTTTTTGAAAAGCCGTCGGGATCCCATCACCCTGCCCTACGTCACAGCAAACACGCAATATGATTGGCTGGTTGAGTCCCGTTAACGTAAACAAATTTCAAAATTCAAAACTAAGCCAATCATATTGCGTGTTTGCTGTGACGTAGGGCAGGGTGATGGGATCCCGACGGCTTTTCAAAAAATTCACCCAAAAAGTGTTTGTATTTTCGTAAATTTCACATATTTGCAATGGCTTTAAAGACAAACAAAAGTTTCGGAAATGTTTTAGGAGAGTCAGTTCCCACATAGATTTAGTTTTTTGTGTATATTTTTGTGTTTAAGTACGAGTATTTTCATGTGTAAGTTTGTGTATGTAATTCGTAAATGTGAAAATACGACAAAGAGTTGCCAACCTTATATTAATATATACATAAAGGTTACACACTGCCACTGCACCGCACGAATTGGCGCAGGCGATAATATGTCAGCAGTGAATGAAGGAAGGTGACACTTCATGTCGTTTTGCATAGAATGTATTAAATATTTAACCAAAAGCAAATCCATTAGCGGGCTACCTGTGATCAAACAACGAAAAGGTATGTACATAAATCTTATAGGTAGTTTAAAGAGCCCTGTCTACAATTTAACTGGCTTTAATAATATATTTGCATGTGTATCTACATAAATAATAGGCAAATATATGTCACATGCGTTGCCATTTGCCTTTGCATTCCGAGCCTAACGGCTTTCTACTTATAAATACTTATGTGCTAAAGCTTGTAATTGCGAATTATCTGACAATATTCTTTAAACTTTAACGTTGGACTATGTTTTATATATATTCACTCCCTGAATGATTTCTATATTAAGCGATTGAATTTTGATACGGCATGTCACAACACAATCTCATAATTTATAATTGTACATGTACAATACAAACAAATGGTAGCTTCTCATTTGGCTTAGGGTTGTACAAATACTTTCGTTAAATATGATTCAGCTACAACTTTGAACTAAAAAAGACAGGGCTACACAATAGCCCTGAAAATCGTAATGAGCGTGATAACTCTGGATAACTCTAACATTGACCTTATCATGATGCTAATAAGCTTAACATTTGCCTTATCATTTGATAATTTTGAGCAAAGCTCTCTTTATTATTGTATAAATGTGTACCAAATGGCACTGAATAGTCACAATGCATATCGATGACTTATATTTATGATGATTCCTCTGATGTAAAGCCATAATATTTAGAAAATATAGCATCTTAACATTGACCTTATCATTATGCTAATTAGCTTAACATTCACCTTATCATTTGATAATTTTGAACAAAATTCCCATTATTTTTGTGTAAATGTGTACTAAATGTCACCATATAGTCACAAGACATTATCGATGAGCTATATTTATGATGAATCTTCTGATGCAAAGCCATAATATTTAAAAAATATAACATCTTAACATTGACCTTATCATTATGCTAATTAGCTTAACATTCACCTTATCATTTGATAATTTTGAGCAAAACTCTCTTTATTATTGTATAAATGTGTACCAAATGGCACTAAATAGTCACAATGCATATTGATGACTTATATTGATAATGATTCCTCTGATGTAAAGCCAAAGTATAGAAAAAATATAGCATTTTAACATTGACCTTATCATTATATTTTGTTGTATAATGTTCACTCCCCCCTGGTAAATGGTTCTTTTGCAACAAATAGACTCCTTAAGTAGATAAGTTGAAAATAATGGGAAAATAAAAGTGGCATCTTAACATTCTACCTATCATGTAGTGTGGACGCGGACGGGGACGCGGACGCCAAGACTATAGCAATATAGCTCTAAGCTCTCTTGCACTAAAGTGCAGGCGAGCTAAAAATGGTCGACTTTATTGATCGAGGTAAACAATCATGTTGGCATATGGCTGCTCACGCTGGGCTTCGCATTAAATTCCATTCTATAAAGCTGATAATTCTTTATTCCACTTTTCGCAACAAATATATCATTCACATATTTCTGGATTACAGTCCGTGGCGTAGCCAGAACGATAATTGGGGGGGGGGCCCATATTCATATATTCGTGATACGCAGGTTTAATTTCTTTTCAAATCAATTGTCTTTACAGTCTGTTAACATGAATATATGAATATGGGCCCCCCCAATTATCGATGCTGGCTACGCCACTGATTACTGTGGCATAACCTGATAATGCAGATAGCTATAAACATGGTCATTATTTTTGTACATGCATGGTACGTATGATAGCAAATTTTAATAGTCTATTCAAGTTACATATACAACAGCTTTGGAATAGAGTCGAAATATCGCAACAAAAGTATTGTCTTGCATGTAATTTTATAGCTCATATCTTGAGTTTAGCTCTATCAGATTAGATCTTTAGTTCTATTTAAGAAATAGAAAACATTTTTCGTGTTTCTATACAGTTATAGAAACAGGCGTGGGAGTTTGGGAGAACGAGAAATAATCAGTAGGGCGAGTTTTTCCACGTTATTTGAAGTTCTCCCAAACTCCCACAAGTGTTTCTATAACTGTATAGAAACACAGGAGAAGATGTTTTCTATTTCTTTTATGATATAACTTAATGAAAAGATTTTGTACAAATATTGTAATTCGATTGAATTACAAATTCTCATTACATCGCTTCGCTTGTCAACAAAATTCCCGTGTTTCTATAGAGTTGTAGAAACACGCTTCTCGACGAATCAGCACGCGCGTACTATAAAATGTTATATCATCGTAGATATTGTTTTTCGTGTGGGTTTTTTTTATTGATAAATTCAATAGAATAGATAAATTGGAATTGTAAAGAATGGCCCTTTTTTGATACCTTTTATAGTTAATACGATGCACAAATTCAGTAGCTAGTAAGCGATCTGAAAATGCGTGTTTTTTATGTAAGATTATAAAGCATTGCGGTTTAATAAAATAGCTACGATCGACCTACATAAACACAGCGTGTTGTTTTCTGCACTAAAGTTATCGAAATTTCTAGAGATTCAATTCGAACCAACCACTGAAGCATTCCGCGATACAAACATATATATGTAGCCGCGTATTTCACCGTGGTTAGGCACTGCTTTGTCAAAAATTAAGGCAACTGTCAGGAACAAGACATCAAGATACAGCAAGCCTTAAAAACGAAACAGAATGAAGTGGAAATATTGATGCATCACATGAAAAGTAAAGGTTAACGCTCCATTTCGGATAGATACAACATTTTAAATCATTAAAGGACCAAACGAGACACCAACCCCGCAATTAGTTTTGGGAGAAAGGGTTACGAGGGAGAAGTGCTCCAAATATAATGTAGATCTAATGTAGACCTGTTACAGCTTTATACATGCAGTTTATAGTACAATTAATTATGTAGTCCTGGCCAAGGACTCTGATGTCCTCAGGGGTCGGGTATCCCCATGCATGTTGGACGTCCTCAGGGGTTTAGCAGCTGCTCCCCAGTATTGGACTTCGCCCAAACGGGATCATAGCTCCCCTGATAGGTGTCCTAAATGTCCAAAGGGCTAGGTTTATACTTATGTATCGACAAGAATGCATGTAGATTTATGCGAGTCTATGGGGTAGAGGGTGACCTTCGGGAGGACTTCATCTCCACAAATACGCAGCATGCGTATTCCCCATAGACGAAACCCTCGCCCTGAAAAATTTGTGTACACGATACATTGGTTAGTTCAAATCTTGGCAAGTGTGGCTGAAACATTTGACAATGTTGAAGACAAGTTTGAATATATAGCGTTCGTAACAATCCGAAGACCAACGTCCCAGTGTTTTTTTTTAAGAAGGTAAGCTAGCTGATGCTGCAGTTGTAGCAGCGCCAATGCGATAGCTTTGACCGGCGAAATTAAAACCAGCGAAACCTGCTTGTGAAAGCAATTTACGCGTTCCCGGGGTTAGTATTTGCTTCGAAAGTGGTCTTCCCGAAGCATTCAGAAACAGAGATCGATTTGTTGTTGCTGGTCTGATGGCTAAATATCGCTTCCTTGCCTGAACAGGACAGGAGTTTTTGTACCACCGCCGACCGACGCAAAAAGGATCGGTTTTCAATTTTTTCAGCCGAACAAACATCGTTAACAAACAGGCATTAGATTAACCTCGGGGTTAAAGGTTGCGTTGCACGTAAGCTCGCCCAGCCTTAAAAAGCCAAAATTAAAAATGCCAAGCTCATGGCCGCCCATAACATAGTAGAATCAAATCACGTTGAGGCAGGTATGGCAAGCATCAGGTGAAACAGTTTTAGATGATGAATTGTTATTGGAAGGCGAACTCGTATGTTATCTCCTTGTCAGCGTTTAATGGACCAATTGAAGGCGCAACATCTTGTTGACCTCTAACTTAAAACCATTGCGGATATGAAAGTTCCGAACTGCTGTAAGGTAATTTTTGATTGACGAGTGTTTAATGGTTTTAGCTAGGTAAGCGGAAAACTGTATTAAGGTGTCTTCTCTGGCGGGTAAGAGATGTATGACCCCATTGGGTCGGTATAATTGAACGAAATTGATAAAACGCTTTTTACCGGCAGTCCGGCACTGTATGTCTGTTTGGTTGTAGCAGCCCAGGACAATTGAATATGGTAGTGGATATCATCCTTCAAAGTTGTAGCAGGCAGTCTGGAATTTTGTGTGAAATTGCCTCTGGAATTTCACCTTTTTGTCTGGAATTTTGTGTGGAATTGGCAGGAATAAACTTGCTTAAAGTACAAGCATAAAGCTGTAACGAGTCTAAGGGGTAACTTTGACCTGATAAATATTTACAATATATTTGGAGCACTATTGCGTCAAAACCCTTCCTCGCACAACTAATTGTGCGTTTGGTGTCTCGGTTGGTCCTTTAATGATTTATAACGTTGTGTCTATCTGAACTGGAGCATTAACCTCATTTTAATGCATCACACGTCAATGTCAGAGACTTCTTCACGTCGTAGTATCCAAGAACTGGCCCCGTCGTTTATTCTTTAACATGTTGCCAACCTAATCACAGGCAAACTTTGCGATCTCGTATGTGTCGCATTTATAGATTTGTTAAAGCAATTACAAATTTAATTTTCTTTAATTGGATATTTGTTTTCAATTCATGTTTAGCTACTTACTTATAGTTTTTCTGAAGACTGACCATGTTCTTGTGCAGAAATTTCGGAAGGTGAAAATTACGTACACACTAAACTTCCAAGTGTTGGGTTTGGACAAACATGTTAATCAATATAATCACGAGTATTTTGACAGTAAAATTCAATAATCAGTTCATCATAAGAACAAAAAGCGGATGCTTGGAAGAAATTTTGTTCCTAGAAAGTATACTACAAGGCCTAATGACCTCGATTTGCATCAAAATCCAAACGTGTTTAGACGAACTCAGCGGCCATACACCCATAATCCTAAACATTTACCTTCCACCCATCATGCCATTCATCCACCCAACCACCCTTCCAAACATCCATCGATACAACCACCCATACATCCATTCACAAACCTGACCAACCCATCCAATACATCAATTCTTCCACCCGTCCCACCACTGCCTTTATGTGGCCGACAAAATCGTCGTTGGCATGTGTTCAAATGTAAAGACACCCTCCTAAGCATTATATCTTCTATATTTTATTTAGACTGAGGAAGGAAACTTAAAAGCTGTAAAAGGTTAGGTATCAAGAAAAAGAATCCGAGCAACAAGGTATGTTATAATATTGAAGGCTTTTAGAAAAAGCCACCACCATCAGTTGAAATCAAGTAAGCATTGCTATTGAAAATCACGAATAAAAATATATTGTTCTTAAATAATTAAGAGACCATTAAAACACGATTAACCATCTGAAAAGCCTAGCAATTGACATTGCTTCTGGTGCTCGCTTAGCGATGGCAGATCTCGCTTTACAGGGGCAAAACAGTATCGATGTGGGCAAAGCTTACGTGGATTTAGGTCAATATGGCGAGGCTATCGACTGTTTCGAAAACTCGTTACAGATAGCAGCGGCAATCGGCAACCAATATGGTATAGTTCATGCTAATATGTATTTGGGAGATGTTTACCAAAGATTAAAAGACTATGAAAGAGCTATTAGCTGTTTGAAAGAAAGCTTACAAATTAGCACGACCATTGGCGATACGTATTTAATGGCAAAAAGCAATCGCCAGTTAGCGAATAATTATTATTCCTTAAGAGAGTTGGAAATCGCAATTAGCCATTGGAAAAAAACATTAGAATTAGGAACAGCAATTGACAATAAAGAAATAATAGCAAAAACCAAATACAGTTTAAGCTACTCTTACGTTGAGCTAGGAAGAAACGACGAGGCACTTTTATGTCTCGAAGAAGCGTTAAGAATTTTCACCGCCATTGGCGACCAGAAAGGGATAGTTGAAGCTAATATGAGTTTGGGCAGATTTTATCAAGGAATGAAAGACTATGAAAAAGCAATTAGCTTTTTGAAAGTCAGCTTAGAAATTAGCACGGCCATTAGTGATCAGTCATTAATGGCTGAACAGAATAGAAATCTAGGTGATCTTTATCGTTGTATAGAAAAGTGGGAAAGCGCAATTGACTATTATAAGAAAACATTAGAATTGGGAAAAGTAATGGACGATCCAGGGGAAACAGCAAATGTCAAATGGAAATTAGGCATTTGTTACTTTAAACTAAAAAGAAATGAAGAAGCACTTCAATGTTTCGAAAAAGCATTAAGATTTTTCACCGCCATTGGTCACCAGAAACGAATAGCTGATTGTAATAGCCGTTTAGGTCACATCTATTCTTTATTCAGTGAATATGAAAAGGCATTTGCTTACTTAAAACACGCTTTAAACATATATAAGGCTATTGATGACAAAAATGGAATTATATATGTCAGTAACGAATTGGGCCGTGTTCACCAGAATAAAGGTGAATACAGTAAAGCCATCGAATGGCACAGAGAGTCTTTAGAGATAGCAAAGACGGTCTGTGACCAAGCAGGTATAGTGGAAGCCAACTGTGATTTGTCATTGATTTACCAAAGATTAGGGGAGCATGAAAAGGCCAGTAGCTATATAGAAGATAGCTTTAAAATCGACATGGCTATTACTGATCAGCCAGTAAGAGCAAAAATGTATTTCTATTTAGGCAGTATTTTGTTTCAATCTAAAAAGTGGGAAAATGCAATTGACTATTATGAGAAAGCATTTAAAATTTTCATAGCAGAGGGCGATCAAACCGCCATAATAATGATCAATGGCAACTTGGGAACTTGTTACCGTGAACTAGGAATGTATGACAAGGCTTTGAATTATCACAAAGAGAGTTTAGAATTAGCCAAAACGACTGGAATGCGATCAGGGATAGCACAAGCCAATAGACACATCGGTGCTATATATAGACTGTTGGGTGATACTGAAAAAGCCATTGAACATGGTAAAAAAAGTTTAGAAATAAGCACTGATATTGGCGAGCCGTTCATGATAATGTGCAGTTATGAAGAACTTGCAACAGTTTATAAGAGTTTAGGAGAATATAAAATGGCATCATCATATTTAGTAAAACTTATAGAAGTACTAGAAAAGCAGTTCCAAAATACGGTTCCAGATGAAAACAAACTTTCCTTCACAAGTTTTTTCTGTAGAGCCCATGGAAAGTTAATGAGTTGTTTTGTTTCTTTGGGGCGCATAGAATCAGGATTATTAGTGGCTGATCTGGGAAGAGCTAAAGAGCTCCATTTTTCTATTGAAAGGAAACAAAATTATTTAGATACAGAGTTGTTTTATTACGCACAATCTATATGGAGCAAAATTGAGAAAAGGGAGGAAAATCGAGAAATGGGGCGAATACAGAACATTCTTCGGGTAGAAAATGATGAAACTTCAATAGTGTTATTTGCGTTTGATCTGGATGAAGGTTCTCTGAAGGTTTGGGTTTTGAATAGTGATGTCACCTTCAAGTGCTTGATGCCAGATGCAGCAATGGATATATTGTTGCCCCTGTTGATTAGGTTTTTCAAAATGACAAGTGTTAATGTTAATCGAGATTCTTCATTTTTTAAACTTGATTCACTTGCGAATGAACATAGTTTTGAAAGTCGCATGAGGTCACCGCCAACCAAGCCGGGTAAAGGAGAAAAGGTTGAAGGCTTGCACGAAAAAACTCCGAGCGATGATAATTGCAGCGACGAAAGTAGTATGAGAAAACTGTTCGATTTTCTCATTCAACCGATAAGAGATGCGGTCAAAGGCAATAAGCTCATTGTTGTTCCTCACGGCCCACTGTTTTTTGTACCATTTTCTTCCCTGATTGATGAAAATGGGAAGTATTTATCTCAGAGTTACAGCATTCAAGTAACGCCTTCATTGCACACTCTGACGTTTACTAAAGAACAACCCGATGTCTCTGACCTCGGTTTTGCGTTGTTTGTTGGTAATCCAAAAGTTGGAAAGATTTCTTTGCATGGTACAGATTTCACACCTACTGACCTAACCAAAGCGGCTGAGGAAGTTGCAAGTCTTGCAAAGCTTTTCACAGCAAGGCCTCTAGTAAAAGGTGAAGCGAAAAAACAGGTTGTTCTCGGACTTTTAAGTGATGCTAGTATAATTCATATTGCTGCTCATGGTGAACCGAAGAAAGGTGAAATAATGCTTGCTCCTGACCTTTCCTTAAATGAACCATCTTCTTCTCTTCCTAATCCAGATTCCTATCTCCTCACACAGAAGGATATTACGAGTATTTCATTGCAAGCTCGCTTGGTCGTCCTATGCTGTTGTCACACAGGCCAAGGTGAGGTTTCTTCAGAAGGTGTCATAGGTATAGCCCGGTCTTTTCTTGCTGCTGGAGCTCGCTCTGTTCTCGCCACACTCTGGCCCATTAGCGATGATGCAACAAAAGAGTTTATGGAAGCATTCTATGACGAACTGCTTCAGGAAACACCAGTTTGTGAAGCGTTAAGAAGGGTAAAGAACTTCTTTCAGCAACACGAAAGAGAAGATTACCGCTCCTTTTTTATTTGGGCTCCATTTACTCTCTATGGAGAGGATGTGATGTTTACAAAAGGCGACATTGAAACGATCAGAGAAAAATCCAGTGAAACTCTACCCGAGTGTGGTTTTGCCTTGTTTGTTGGTAATCCAACGTCTGACTTGCCTAAAGCCACAGAGGAAGTTCATTCTCTTTCAAAGCTTTTCAAAGCCAAGGCGTTCGTGGAAGGCGAAGCCAGAAAACAGGTTTTGCTGGGACTTTTGAGCGGGGCAAGTATTATCCATATTTCTGCACATATGGAACCTAAGCAATGTGCAATAATACTCTGTCCATGTTTCTCCTCAAATCAAGCATCTTCCACTCTTCCCAAACAGGATGACCTTTTGACGCAACAGGATGTTCAGGGCCTTTCTCTAAAAGGTGGCTTGGTTGTTTTATGCCTGTGTCACTCTGGGCAAGACGAAATCTCTCCAGAAGGTGTTGAAACTTTAGCTCTGTCTTTTCTTGCAGCCGGAGCTCGCTCTGTTCTTTCCACACTAAGGCACAGTGATGATGATGCAACAACGGAGTTTATAAAAGGATTTTATAATCACTTGCTGCATGAATCATCAGTCAGGGAGGCGCTAGAAAAGACAAAGGAACTCTTTGAAAAGCACGATAAAGAGGCCTACCGATGCTTTGTAAGCCGGGCTCCGTTTACAATCTACGGCGAAGATGTGATGTTTCAAAAACACGACATCGAAACGATAAGAGAGAAATCTGACAAAATGTTTTCTGGTTTTGTTATATTACCATGTGATGAGCTTTCTGGTTCGTTAATTTGCAAATCTTAACCTGCAAGATAAACCGTAGCATAGGTAATCGTTGTCTATTATGTAGTTCATGTTTAGGAAGGTTATTAATCTTACAGGTTCTGCTCAATATAATTATTTGTACGTTTTTTATTCTTTTGGCCTCGCTAATACAGAATGGGGGAGCAGACTGGCTGTAAAATTTTGAATTACATATTTTACTCAATCATGTAATCATGTAATCGTGTACTTAGGTTTGTGGGAAATTCAAGATGTGGATTGCTAACGTATCCAAATAGTTCACAATCATATAATTATCTTAACCGGAGGATATGTAAACATCTGGGTTTTATGTTTGTGTGTGTTTATGTTAAGTGTAAATAAATAAATACTAAGTGTATTTATACCATGCAAATTTTGTGAGCGAATTTCATATCGGCCATTAAAGAATTGATTATAAATTCAAGCGAATTAAATATCGTAGATTATATATCGTTGAATTTGGTTATAGATTTTCTACCTTTCTACGGCTCTCCAAATGCCCTAGTACAAACAGAAGTAGCTACTAAATTTATGTGAAATTTCTTCTCACCACAATTAACAGCTATTTTCCAGAGTTTGGTGTGTGTTAGACAACAAGCGATTAACTCTATGGCATGACGATCACCACGCAAAGATCTTTCTGGTTTCTGGTGTAAGTATATAATTCAACCTGCAACTTAGATTTAGTTTAGTAAACCTCCTTGAATGCAGGTGCATAGGCACTGCGCCTGCGAAACACTACTCTTGCGGTAAAGAGGAGAGGTTTTCTTGTTGCATCATCACATAGCTGATAAACCAATTCATCAATTGGAAAATCGAAGAGGCTGCCATGCTGTATGCTACTCCATCTGGATCATGTTGAACTACAATTTGATGAATTTTTCAAAAATTATCTAATGTCTTTTTTGCACATTTCAAAGATAAACGAACTTGCTTCGTGCGTGAAAATTTTCCCTCAATTTTCTGCTCAATACCATACAATGGTAGAACTAATATTGAATGTTTACGAGGGCAATGGTAAAGAATATTTTCAGGTGAAAGTTAGATTGATTATTTCATTCATCGAGGAGAATGATTTGTTTTATACAACACAAAAAAAAAACACTAACAAGATCTAATGTTATTGAATAAACAGTTTGTGTTTATGAGTTATTCCATGTTCGGATTCGTGATCAAATGTGTGCAATTACGCCTTACGATTAATATTGTGAGTGATTAAATTTTGTGAAAAAGCAACTGTGCATTGAGAAAACTTCGGCGGCTTGGCAGTGCAATGGAAACATTCATTACACGGTCAGTAAAATGGAGAATTTTATCTAATGCCACGTAATCACAAACAACCAATTGAAAGACTTGAAATGAATAAGGTATTAAATAATTGCATTATTTTACTTCCATTGGAGGATGATGAAGAAATGCTCGTGAACAACGCTACTGAGATCTTTGCAGCTTCATATTAATTCTAAACATGGATCTAATATGAATAAGTAGCTATTACTCGCTATAAATTGTTACAAAGCACAGTACTTAGTTATCTTAAATGAAAAAAACATTGACTATTAACCAACATTCTATAACCTGGTGGAAAAAGAACATCTAGATTTTATTGGCATATCACAAGAATAAGAAAGAACAAATATGATTAGAGTCTTCGTACCCTGTACAGAATACCACGTCCCAAATTAGCAGGCAGTCATGGCCTATATAGTTGCGCGAGAACATCGCGTAAACCTTAGGAGAATCAGTCAAAAAAACCTTCGCAAGGAAGTCATGAGTTGAAAAGGAATGGAAAGTTGCAAAGTTTCCGTGGGAAACTTTGCGAATTTGCCCGTTTCAACGGAATACAAAGTGCTGGGAGCACGGAAACACATGAACTAAAGACGATGAAATTACATGAGTTAAAAAATGAAGTAGACGAACGTAAAAAAGGTGAAGAGACGTGTTATTACGTAAAATGCAGAAAGATAAGCTGGGAGATTAAAGCCAAACAGTATAACTATCGATATTTACCATGTGGCTTACAGTGACTGTGATAAAAGTGACTCTTTCACCTAAGATTATAACATGTCCGCTTCAAGGGATTAAAAATGGCCTTTATGGCGAAGCAATGGCCGTACTATAAATGGATTCAAAGGTTATTAGTTTATAACGTGTATTTCTTTCAATCATCGCTATTTTATTCGAACAGTATTTCTCGTGGAAAAGGTTGCCATAAAAATTATTGTCTTATGAACTTCACACCTTGAAGCGATGGAAACTAACAAAGAGGACACGGACACTCCACAAGATGGTTATAAAAAATGTTGGTCATAATCTAAGTAGAAAAATTAAATAATTAAAATAGACATATAGAGTTAAGATCAGCCCTATTAAAAGTGGTGGAAATAGAAGTGTTCTTAATAAACCTATTATAGTTTATTTGCTTTATTAGGTTAGGATTTTGACACCTCACTAAACATTTGGTAATTTTTCATAAACCTTTTAATCATGCGAAAATCACGTATGATTTTGGTCTAAATTGAGATCTCATAAAGTTATTCGAAGTGAGAAGTTGATCAATTAAATAAAAAGCAAAACAACGCAATACATGCTACGAAGAAAAATGACAATATATCAGGAACACTTTCATTACCACAGCATCTGCAATACTCCACGATCTTTAGCTTCCTAACACAACTGTTGAGCTCTACATTATCCTCCATTTGTTTCACATCGGAATACCCACTGAAAAACACTTCGGTGACGTGGGTATCCTGGTTAAAGATGAAGTTAATAATAATAATAATAATAATTTTCCTTTTTTTATACTTCATAACGTCATTATATACATTTATTGATAGCACAAAAGTATAAAACAGTGTAATCAAAAGTAGTTATTATCATTGAACAATTAGTAACTATCTTAGCATAAAATTGGGACTTTAGAAGACCAATGAATTAGATTCAATTTTAGGCGATGATTATAATTTAAATTTGCACAAATCGGTCATAAATCGATGAAAAAATAATTGATTTAAATTCTTTGTCTATTTTTAGTCGTATTTGTATGTCAAAATAGCATCACCATAAAAAATGTAATCATGCATATAATATTATTCGAATAATTACAATTTATTGTTGTTTTAAGAATCAAAATTGTTACTTTGTTGATTCTATTTATCATTGACTAATGAATTATCTGTGCTCAGGTTACTTAGATATACAAAGCCAAGCACATACAATTTAAGTAATGTGACTGAATTTACAGTGCTGCATGTGTCAATGGATTGATCATGTGCACTGAAAGTTGGGCATATTGTTTTCTAACTCTTGTTATGAGTACAAAAGAATTACACAAGAAGAGTATATATCATAAACAATACATCAACCCAGTAATTTCATTGCCATTTATTGCATTGGTGCACTCATAATTAGAATGTCTTCATCTGACTTATAAGTTTGAATTCAGATTAAATATAAATTATTATGATAAAATAGTTCTATTATGAATTTGGCAATCTTAGGATGAATATATGTCATTAAATACAAGTGTCATTTGTAACATATGATTCCCAATCAGAGGGTTTCCCAACAAGAGGATATAGGATATTTAAAAGCAAACATATAGCTACCTGTTAAAAAAAGTCCAGGCTGCCCTGTTTTATCAAATCAAAAGAATGCGGGGCTCAACTCTGATATGCGGTCATGCACAATTCTTTGGGTATACGGCAATATTTTTTGTAGGCTGATAATTAATTGGTCGCAATCTGCTCTTTGCATGAATAATATGGATTTTTATTCCAGCGTACGAATTCGCCTAATTTGCACGGGCGAATAAAAATCCAGCAAAGTGATAGGTCTAGCAACAACGACAGCTTCTTCAACAACGTAATCGTTTCGTAGCACTAAATATTCATATTAAACTGAATGTTCACGGACTGTCCTCCCTCGACCTCTAAAGACAGCTTTGTAAGACAATTGTATAAAAAGAGTGATAATACGAAATAAGTTTAGTCTGTGGTGGAACATCATCAGTATGAAAGGTGAGAGAGAATAGAAAGGTGAAAAATATCTGAGGTAAGTAGGACGTATAGTTTCTCATCGTGAAATTGCTTGCGCTTTTATTTTTCACTAAATTGTTTTTCTCACGATCGATCTTAATTTGATATATCCCGTCAAAAACGAGCCGCGTCTTTGTTTGTCTTATATTATTACGTTTTCAACCTTTCGTTTAAAATTGTGCCGCAAATCAAAGATTGTAAGGCATCACAGCTAACCAGTGAATTAAGTGAATATTGACAATCCCACTAATTGTAAATACGCGAATGTAAGCCGGGTTCAAAGAAATGCAGTAAATTTAGTGAATATGACTGAAATATGTTTTGTAAATTGTTCACATTCTTGGGTATAGTTAAAACAGTTTTGCAAGATATGGAGTACGTTCTAATTAAGTATCTTTATTACAAGACATGGAAGGTTTCAAACCATCTATGAATGTCTTATTCCTTACACTAGTTGAATAAAGATTGGTGTGTGACCGTATGACGGACAGTCACTGGGTTGTTTTGCCGGCCGAACACGACAAACGTCGATTGATATAATCAATTTTAAGTTCGACTTCCTGTGTCATCAAAACTGATTCTTTATTGAGAAATGAAGAATGAGAATTTTAGTTTGCTAAGAAAAGCGACGAATATACATTAAAAAATTGTAGAGAATAATACAATAGAACAATGAAGCAATAGAATAAGTCAATCGACCCCTTTTCTTTGCCCACGGTAAAACCGAAATCAGTAATAAAACTGTTCGTTTAATTCTTGCGTTCTTTATATATTTTTTTGAGAAAAATTTTTAGTGTGGTGAACCACCTTAAGCTAAAAGATCGGAGAGAACCCCCCGCGTCTACACAACTGTAGAACAGCTGTATTGTGTTAATACGTAGCTATAACGCGGCAAAACACTTTATAGTTCTTTATAGTATGGAAGATCGAAGAGAATAACCTTCTGAAAAGTAAGTATAGAACGTACAGTTACACATTGCGACATTGTTTGCTCTTCTACTTTCACGGAATTGTTTTTCTTATGACCGAGTCTAATTCTCATAACTCATCTCTATACAGCAATAAGAACAGCGTCTTTGTTTGTTTTATCATTACGTTTTCTGCATTTCGTTTAAAAATTTGCCATGAAAGACAAGAAGACATCGCATTTAACAAGGGGCCGTTGTATCAAGCCCGTTTAGCTTAAACGGTGGATAAGTCCAAATTAAATAACACTCCTTAATACATCTCTCTTGAATGAGTCAACTTGAATATTATGCCCTGAATATGTAGTTGTAAACATGCAATATCTTTGTATTAAGGTTAAAAACATTTAGTTCGCTTGTTGAATGAAACGTGAGACTTGCTTTCTATTTTGAACTTAGAAACCGACCCCAGTAAATTAGGTAAATATTGACATGCATGAATATTGACCTATGAATTGTAACTACGCAAATGAAATTCAAAGAAATAGTGTAATTTTAGTGAATACGACTTAAATTTTAGAGAATGTTTCGTGGAATTGGCAGTTAAGATATTCTTAAAAGGCTAGGATTACGATTAAGCTCCCCCATGCATGGTATCTTGGTCGCTCATATTCTTATTACAAGGCAAGATTCCGAACCATATATAAGTTACGGACTTGTGTCTGGCTGTATGACAGACAGCAAATGTTCTTTCATGTTTGTATTAAACATGATTGATATAAATAAATTTTCAAGTTGAACCTCTCTGTCATCAAGTCTTTGAGTATCAGGGTAAAGCAATTAATTAAAGATCACGATAGTTCTGTTCATTTTTCAGGTTATACTTTGATAAATATTCTTTTAAATATCTCGAACGACAATAATTAATAATTATACATTCACTGTCTTAAAGACAAAAAACAACACGGTTGCTAAGCGTTCATGCGGGTAACACGACAAACTGCGCCTTTCCCTTGTACTGCATGGCTTGTAAAAACACGTCGTATTCAAAGTGTTCGCATTTTACATAAACGATCTCCTTTTTAAGGGAGAAGGAATTAATTAGGGTCATGATAGATTTGCGTATTTTCCCGTTCGACTTTGCACGTTAATACAAAGTGAAAACAAGATGGTTGCTAAGCGTTCACTCGAGCTAACGAGTTTCGATTTGTGATATTTGAGTTAGCATTGGAAAGTTTAACTCCCATACAGCAAATATATACTAAAATGATTTGACATAACTAATTGTGCTGACGACAAACTGTGTCTTTCTATATAATATCGTGTTTATATTTCATATTCAAGAAATAGAAAAATTTCCGTGTTTCTATAGTTATTGACTAAACACGCGTGGGAGTTTGGGAGAACAAGAAATAATCTGTGGGAAAACGACCCCGTAGGGCGAGTTTTTTCACGTTATTTCGAGTTCTCCCAAGCGCTCACAAGAGTTTCTATAATAATATAACTCAACAAAAAGATTTTGTACAAATATTATAATTCGATTCAATTACATATTCTCATTCCTTTACCTGGCTGGGCAAGTTCAGCGGGAAAATTTCCGTGTTTCTATACAGTTATTAGTTATAGAAACACGGTTCTCGACCAATCGGCACGCCCGTACTATAAATGTTATATTATAAAGTGATTTACTTCATCTTCCGTATTGATAACACACATTAATTTGAAGATACACTATCAAGTTGCATTAAACCCTATATATATTATTACTTTTGCAATGCCGGTGCAATGCTTTTGCGACTGAGCGAGGGATGTAGTGTTCATGTGACATATAGTTACTACACACACATTTTTATACAGATAAAACACAGGGTGTGCGTTTATAAAACTTTGAGAGCTAACGCATTGTTTAGGAAATCGTTTGGCATACATAAGTATTTGAAATAAACGAAAAAATTTTAAATTCCAAACATGTCTCGACTTAAGCATAACCATATTCAGTGTGAATGAATTAGTTATTACATTATGAAATATATAAAGTAGGAATATGATACAGGCGAGGTGATGCTCGATAAATAACATAATTATTTACAACAATGATTGACAACATAACAGGATACAAGATATGCATAATAAATAGAGCAAACACGACAGACAAAAATTATAACTGAAAAATACACTGGCGGTCAAAAAGAACTGCTTAAATGTTGCTATTATCGTATGTAACAGGAATCGTAACAATCAATCTTTTATTGTACACTAGCGGTCAAAAAGAACTGTTTAGATAGAAATTCATACAGAAGAAGCGAATATAGGAGAGAGCCTCTTAGGAATTTTGGACAATTCTCTTATTCCAAGCAATATTTCAATAATGTAATGCAACCTGCCACACTTCCAAGATATTGTCAAACAATGGTTGCAGGAAGAGGGAGTGACAGAAATGGATTGGACTGCACAATCAAAAGGTCTTA